ATATGGTGATACCAAATATGGTGATTTGGTGATTCGGTGGGTTTCCCCCTCTTTTTCCCATGTTAAAAAAAAAAAAAAAAAAAAAAAAAACAAGACACAATTTGTTCGCAAACGCGCGATGGACAGAAACAACCTGTGCCCGGTGGATCAAACCGAAGCGAAACTGGCGGGGGCATTGTCCGCATACTGGGTGCAGAGATTGTTTACCGTGGTTTTGGTAGCCCCTCCAGTACCAGAGATTGATTGTGGCTCACGTGACATCAACACCCTCGTCTGGGGTATTTCTTTCACATGCGACCGAGGCCTCGCCTTGGCTCCTGCAACAAGGCTCTAGTAAGGCCTTACATGGAGGAAGCCAGGGGCAGGGTGCTGAATCCCAATGCTATTCATGCTCCCCGTTCTTTCCAGGGATCAGCTGAAACCTAGAGAAACAGCTTTTTCTGTTTATTGACGATCGCACAAGGGGGCATCAACCCCTCCAAGTGTTGGAGTATGGAGGTGATCTGAAAAAGCAAGCGAATTATTAAGTTTGTTTTGCAGACCCTTATTTTGTCCCCAAGCAGTCGCTACTCTCTTATGTCTATCTTTTTTTGTTACATGGCTTCAAACACATTTGATTTCCACTTTCCAGCAAATCCCTTATTTCCAGTTTCTAAAGCATATAAATTCACGCAAATCATCTATTGTTTATTCGTTCGGGATCGGGGGCGCATGTTGAACAGGCAGCTTTGGGCTGCTGGCCGCTTGCGTGGACCACGGCCGTGTGTTGCCGGCCGAGGAGAGTCGAATTCAGATATCGGGCGAGTTGTTGCACGAAAGAAGGCCTGGCCATATTCTTTCAACGGAAGACCCAAAGAGATGGTTGCAATGAAGCAATTGCATGGTTCAAAGTTGGGTTGAATCGCCCAACCCCGGTTTCATGGTTTGATGGGAACGCACGAAGCTCTCCAGCTTGAAACAGCCCCTAAGTCACGCTAAGCCTTACATGGTTGGACCCCCCCTCGGGCTGGTTAGCGGCTACACAAAATCCTATGTCTGATGTCCACCAAAAGGCTCCGACTCCCACCAATCGAAAAATGGACCGATGGGCTTGCTTCTTCGATGGGTCAGCCCCATGGGTGCCCACCTCCCGCACAGGGCGGACGTGCGATTAATCGCCATGCGGGAAATTCAGGGGAAGGGCAGTGATTGATAGGCAGCTTTTTGAGGGAATGGCAGTTTGATGCCCCGCCCCTTCATATTGGTCAAGTTTGATCCCCCGTTCTTTTTTTCGAATTGTGCTTTGAGACGCTGCTCGAATTTCTTCGAAGTTTTGCAATTTCGTACACTTGAATAATCCCAGTTTTGGTATGCAGGAGTGCCCACGCTGCGGAACTTCCCATCGCTCACTGAGAGCCTTTGGCATTTGAAAGCATGTCGTTGAGTTGTGCTGGAAACTGACACGTGCAGCTTAAGGGTTCTGACCGACTCCAAAATTGTTCGGTCACCCGTTTGTCCATTTTTGAGTGGCTTCCCCTCCAAAAATGATCAACCCGGAAATGGCTCGCTTGTTCTTCGGGGGTCACCTGGCAACTCCCCGATTTCTTTTGAACAACGGACAGGGCGCACCACCGATTGTAGTTTCTGTGAAGCTGTAGCTTTGAAAAAGGTGGTCCTCATTTGCAAAGCACCTCCCTCTCAAAGTAGGAAACCCCCTTTTTGGGATGCAGCAACAGACACTGATGGCTTCGATTCCCAATGGGGTTAGTTATGAATGGAAAGCTTCAAAATGGCTGGGGCACCATGCCAGGAGCGGTGAAATTGTGGTCTTACGCGTTGTGGGGGAGGGGATTGATCCTTGGGTTTTCGAGGGCCCAATCCACGAAAGGCCGAAATCCTCCATCTGAATGGCGGTCGATTAGGTCGGTCGGGTCAGAGGTAAAGAGATGGTGACTGATGATGTCCCTTGCTCCATCATCTCCTTGCCATCACCTATCTCTTTCCTGCTTCCAGCCTTCTCACATTTATGGCCATCCAAAAGCCACCAACGGAAAGGCTTGCATGAGGACATGATGGCGAGTGAGGGCATTTTCGTCATGCCGCACCCATCCCTTTCTCTTCATCTCTTGCCAACAGCAAGAGCCTGCTGTTGCGTCGTCTGGGCTTTTCCAACTTGTTCCCTTGCAAACAGCAAGCGGGTTGGACTCCTCTTTGGGCGGATCAAGAGACCTGGAAACGGTAGCCCTTCTGGAGGGGATCCGTTTATGGCCTCGGCCGCCCCGATCGATACTGAGGCGACGGTCAAGTTGACTCATCGGTGCGACTCATCAGGACCCATGACTGCACATAGCATCCTGCCTTTCGGGCACCGGGATGTTGGCTAGCCGTTGGCTTCGGGTGTTTGTGGGCAAGTTGGTGGGGTTCACCGAACCCAAGTCATAGTAGCTGGATGAAAGCCGGATCGGCTTTCAGCTTCTTTGGAGATCACAGTGGTGGCCACTTACCTTGTATCGAACATCCCACGCATTTCCCTGATCACGTCTCCTCAAGGGAGAAGGCGTCATGAGCAGAGATCAAAGCTTCGCAAGTGAGCGACGGGAAAAAAAAAAAAAAACTCACCATTGTGTACTGGCGCTTTTGTGGGTCCCCTGAGCCCTGAGCGACGTTCTAAAAGGCCGCGAAAGCGCCACGAAAGGCTCGAAAGAGAGGGAGGATCAGTTCCGTACCCGCAAACGAAAGGCTCAGGGTGGGGTTGGCAGGGAGCTGCAGGTGACAAAACTCACTCATGAGCTTGTGTTTAGGAGGCAGGTATTGTGGATGGACAAAATCCTGCACCACTTTTGAAATCATGGGACACCATTGTTTGTTGGTATTTACACGTGAATCATCATTCCAGGGTTTCTTAGGTGGTGCAGGATTTCGTCCATCCACAGTATGTCGTGAGGAGGCAAGTCTGTGCTTGCACAGAGAACAACGACAAAGAAGCTTTGCGATGCCAGTTGCTGGAAAACTGGAATCGGACAACTCAATTCACCCCCAGGCCCAATTTGCGGGTCAGACAAAGCGAGGGACACCAAATGCAGGTGACACAAGGGTTCGTTCAAGCGTGTTGAAGCAACCTTGGGGCTGTTTCTTCAGATCCCAAGGATCCGTGTGAAGGGCAAAGGCTTCCTCAAGCACATGGTCCGGCGCATCACCGGCTTCCTGGTGCAGGCAGGAAGTTGTGCGACTGCAGTGGGTGCCAGCTCCAAATGGCACAGACATGGGGATATGTGGCTCAGTTGCATGTTCACAAGCTGTTGAACCATTTTTGTGTTGGTGCCCCAACAAAAAGGGGCTGCCAGAAGCTGGTTGTTCCATTCGAAGGCGGGCTGCGGCTTCGCGACTGCCCCAGATGCGCTGGCGCCCAAGGCGCCCAAGGCGCCCATGGCGCCGGCGCAGGGTCTCTGGCTGGAGGAGGTGGCCAGGGCCTCGGCAAGCCATTGCCATGCTGGCGCATAGGTCGTGCTTTTCGGTTGGTTTGGCTGAAAAATAGAGGGCGATTCCTGGTTTACCTGGTGGTTCAATCATCTACCAGGGCCATCTATTTTCGAAGAAAGGACACCTATGTGCTGGCGGTTTTTCCGCATGTGCGAATGTCGCTTGGGGTTGATCAATATTCCGTTCGCCCCCAAAATGACCATGGATAACTATCTTTTCATGGGAAATAGCATCTTCCTGGTGCTTGTTGCCATGTGACCAAACACTCTTGAGAACGAATCACTCACCCTCCATTCCCAGCGGCGAGTCAAGACTAGGACCTGTGAGGGGGGTCAAATACCGCGTTTCTTTCTGATGGCTTGTACCTATTTGGGTGCCACATAGCCACAGCCCAGAATGCTTAGTTGCGCCAAGCGGAAGTCAAACGGGCATGAATTGCTGATTGAGTCCCCGGGCCTAGAGCCGGGTTTGCACAGATGGGTGGCATGTGAGTCCGGAGGCATTGGAGCAACTAAGCCTTTTTGCACATCGTGTTTGTCGCAGGGAGCATATTGGTGCATATGTCTAAAAGGGAGCCGAGGCCTCTAAATTGGCCGACAGGGGACTAGGACGCCCAAAGAGCAGCGCCTGTTCATTTATGCATAATTCTGGGGATTCTACTACCAATGAAATCATATGATGAGCAATGAAAACAACTGACACTCGTAGAAGGGGCGACAACCCAAATGACCCAAAAATCACGGGCCCTGCGACTTTGTCCCACGTATGTTTGGACTCCCCTCCCGTCGCTGGTACTGAGGTGGTGGACGATCTCAGTGATGTGCTGGATGAGAACGGCGAAGCGGTCGAACATAAAAAGAAGGAGCTGGCGGAGAGGTCCAATGGGGCCATTTTTAGGGACCTTCAAAGGGGTCCGGATGGAGAGAAGCTACACTTCACGAAGGGTGGAACAAACCACGTAGCAACTGGTGCAGGATTTTGTCTCAGCCAAGAAACACTTAATGTAAGAAGGGTCCCATTAGCAGTTTGATGAGGCCGAGGCTTGATCTTGGCTTATCTAATATCCAGGGATACCACCCGCAGTTGGCCCCAGTGGTGGTCCATCATTTTTTTGGAAATGTGGCTGATTCTTCACTCACCAGACAATGAATTACGTCTCTCAAACAGCGGCGCGCAATGCGCGCATTGGCAATGACCGGCACCATGAGCCGAGCGAACTGGGTGAAAGGTTTCCCGGGAGTGTGCCATGCCTGGGACCCCTTGAAATCGGCAACCGCGGCCGTTGCAAGCTTTGGGCTTCGGCCACCGCGGGTTGGACCACATTCAGAACGAGTCGCGAGAGCCCCATGGACTCCCAGGAACAGCCCCGTGGACTCCCAGGTCAAAAGGCTATAAGAAAAAACAAAGCAAATCATACCAATCATACCAGGTTGCCAGGCTAGTGGTACCTGCCCTTAAGAATCACTGGTTGCCAATTTGAAGTGAGCTTCCTTAAGGGACATGTAGCAGCATCACCCACTTTGCGCATGTTCGATGCTTAGGTGGTGGCCAAGTTGGGCTTCATTTGCCCATGCCTCAGCTGCGAAGATGGTGTCCTTTGCGGGAAGTCCTTTTCCACTGTTTCAACTGGGTGTGCGCATTTTGAGGTTGGTGTAAAAGGAAGACTGAAACCCATGTTGGAAATCCAGATTCTTATGTTGACAAACACGCAAGGGGGCTTTCCTTGAGCTTCTGGGGAAGAGACATTGTGTCGAGTGTGTCTTCCAGTCCTGGCTGCCTTTTAGGGCAGAACGGATAGAGTCCCTGAAGCAAGAGTATGTGCAAACGGCTATGCACCCGAAGTTACGCTTGGCCAATAAATAGTATACAGGCAAAGGTACCATCGTTGTTTTCTGTCTGATTTCTGTATCTTTCAATGAAGGTCTCAGTTATTCAAGCCAACCTCTTGTAGAACCTTTTGGATGTTCCTGTTTGTTCCATTTCTGACATGTTATGTGCATGCAGGTCTTTTGGGCAGGTCAGAGGCAGTTGTTGGTTGAAGGACACGCAGAAAGTCTTGCAAGTGTCTTGTGAGTCAGAAATTGCGAGGTTTGCTGGGATTTCTCTATGTGCCGGACTATGGCGCCGATGCATCCACTTGCACCCACCGCATAGACTACTGGTTTCTGGGCGCCTTGGCTTGGGTCGAAACAATCGGACGAGCGACCGTGAAATTGGCCGGCCATTTGGCCCTCGGAGCGAAAAATTAGCCCCCAACCCGTGACGCGTCTTGGGAAGACCAGTTGAGTGGACTTATCCGTTCAGACAAGCTTTTAACCTTTGGGCTTCTTGGTTTCTTCTTCATTTTGGAAGGGCCCCAACAAGTCTAATCTTGTCAGTCAACTTCACAGGTCAGTGGCAAGCAACAGGTTGTTTGGTCGGGGTTGGCGCGTCCACTCAGGAAGTGAGATGAACCAGGGGGTCTCTTGCAAAAAGGGGGACCATGACCATTGTGACAAAGTAGTTTGACCACTCACGTCATGTGCGGGCCCAGGCGATTGGTCCTTCAGCTGTCCGGGCCCCAGGGCGTCCAAAGCCAAAGTCGCTCTAAATCTCTCAAAGGGATGCGGGGTGCGATTGTCTCCACTGGGTAAATCCAGCCAGAACCATTCCCATCGGTACCCAAAGAATTTGCCAGCTGAGCTGCCGGTCCGCTTCAGTGCCAGCTCCTTAGGCTCAAAATACCAGGAGCCTCTAGCGTTTGATTGAAGATTGGCATCAACGCGGTTGAAATTCAACCCCACTCTACTGGTGAAGTAGCAATCAATTGTGGCCTTTACCGGAACCCCATTTGGCACCTAGCAAGAGCTCTAGGAAGAAATTGATATTTCGGTGAGTCATTTGTCCTGCGCAAGTCGGGTCGCGTCCTTTTGGCCTTGGAGCTTTGGTCAAGGCGTCAACTCCCTGGCTTGCTGCCTCTAAGATCTTCCTCCAAAGCCATTTGTGTTGCCAAAGGGAACCTTGAGGGACACCTTTCTGGGTAGGCAGAACCGGATTTTTCTGCCCCAGTCCAAGTGGCACTGCGTGTTTGAATCAAAGCACATGTTGCGCTGGGTCGCGGTGTGGAAGGACCCCCACACTGAACCATTCATTCCTTTGCTTGGGATTCCTAGGTTCTAGTATAGTAGAGCCCATTTTGATTTGTAGCGCACTAGTAGGTGGCCGGGGGTGGGCCAAAGGAAAACACCGAACTGGGTGTTACTAATCACAAACGCGATACATCGGATGTTTCAACTACGGCTTTCCGTGTAGTCGATGGGTGTTCGTGTTGGCACCAAGACTTGCAAAGCACAATAAGCCCAAAAAGGCGGAGACGCGGGTCAAGTTTACTTGTGATTTGGTGAGCTTTCTCTTCTCCACCTCCGAACATTCCAACCTCACACCAACTCAGAGGGCTACTCTCGGTGGCTGGTTCTTGGTTCATCGTTCTTGCTCAGCAAGTTGAGCTGACTGGTTCAGGTCTGAAGGTCAATGTGCCCCCGTTCCTGCGGCTGCAGCTGTTCATCTCCTCGGTGAAGGGGCCGGGGACCTGAGGACCTGAGGAGGTGCATTTGTTCGGCGTGGAGGTCAGATCCCACGTATCTTACAAGAGCCACATAACTTGCACAAGAGAAAAGCCCATCTGAAAACGCCGTTGATTGCCATGGGTTTGCTTATTAGTTGACTCTTTTACCGGCAGGCGTTGGTTGGACTTTTGATTTTAGTTGGTTGCGTTCTATTGTGTTTGGAAACGTGTGACCTGCCTCCAGTTGCCGTTTGTGATTGTCGGTTTGTTTCTTCGAAGCTAGTCAGCTGGCTTCAGCTGTGGTGTGCATTCTGTTACACATGTTGGCTGACTTCAGTTGCCGTTGGTTGGGTTTTGTTTTGAGCGCCTGACTGATGCAGTCATGCAGTCCTGAAACTGTTCCAGTCAACTTGTGACAAGGATGGTATTTCCGAAACATGCCTTCGCAAGGGCACACATTCGTTGATTGGCAGCAGTCACTGTTTCGGTGTCCTCCGGCCGTTTGTGTCCACTCCCACAACTCACTCCCTGAGTTCAAGGACTTCATACTCTTGGGCAACACCATTCCAGTGGTACGCCAACAAAATGGACTTTGTCTGGCCAATCTACTCGGGAAGTCAGCAGCGCCCCTCTGGGCCCACATCATTGAGCCACAGGAAACCTCTTACATGGACTGTTCTTAGCTCCGCTCGTTCGGAGAGACATTGGTGAGCCATTCCGACTTGAGGCCTTTCCTGATCTCCGCGTTGCTGGGCATCTTCAAGACCACTTTGCTACCGCGCGGCGCCTTGGAGGGCTTCCTTCCGTCGGGATGTCTTGGCTCACACGGGTTATACGGATGCATATAGGGGTCATATGCAGACGTATAATTACCCAGGCGAAGGCACAAAAGGAAAGCAGCCGCTTCTCATTTTGGATTTTCTTATTCTCTCCCATAAAGAGTCAGTTGGAGCATTTGGAAAGGGACCTAATTAGTTGGGTGTGGTGCGCTCTAACTAGTTGGGGCCAAAGATCCAAAAAGATTGAACAGTTCCCCTTCAACTCACCCCGGAAAAGTGGCGTGTACATCCGCCAAAGAAGCCACCATGAGGGTCTATTCAAAATCCCCCTTGGGAGTTTGAGGCTGGAAGCAAGATGATGGTCTGGGAAATGGCAAGCCAAACCGGTTCTGCGGGGACGGACCATCCCCAAACTGGCCCTCACTTGCCAATGCCATAGGGCCAAATTCCATGGCAGCGCAAGGCGCAAAGGCCCAAAAGACACAAAAAGGGGACTTATAAACGGCGTTTTCGGGTTCCGGGAGGCTTGCGCCGAAGGAATCGAGAGATGTTCCACGTTGCCCAGTGGCACCATGTTTCCATCTCTCAGGGGCTTCCTTTCGAAGAATAAAGCCACCAAAAGACTGCCCCTTTTGTCCGCCATTTGGGTGTTGCAATGGCCGGCAAGGTGGCCGGGGGCCATCTCGGATCAGGGCCTCATGTTTCGTCCATATGGAAACCGCGGTTCATTTCCCAAGCCCTGGGCTTCCGTTGAAGGGGTCAAGACCCGACGGCTCAGGATCCTGATCGAGAAGCTCCGGGCCTTCGAAGATCGCGCCCAGCCGCTGCGGTGCCTGGTGAGGCCCACGGAGAGCCGGTCCGCGGTCAGGAGGGAGGTATCACAAGAGTGTATGGGCCCCATGGCCATGCCTGTTTCTTCCAAATTCCTGGAATCAACTACTGAACTATTTTGGGTTTGAAGCTTGAGGGTTTCCGTTTTTTGAGATTGGTTCAAAGAGAAAGCGAAAGCAGGCTTGGGGGGAGGGGGGGGTTTGAGGGCATCCGTTCTGGTCGCAAGCCAAAGGGACGACTATACCGTTGTGGAGGGGTCCCTTGTTTCAACCCACGGCCAGCGGAGTGTCGATCTTTTGTGGATCTCCGTCAGGCTGTCCATCTTCCTCCTCCGGTCTCCTGGCAGTATGCGTGGCACGGGATGATGTCTGACTAGGACAGGGATGACCAGCCCCCCAATTAACACTCAACTCGAGAAACAGAAACAGCTCAACAAAACATATTGTTGTTGGAAGGGGGGGTTGTCCATGTTAATCTGCAGGGAGCGGTAAATGACTGCTATGTAAAGGGGCCTGAGAAGGGGCTCGGCACCCCCTGATTTCTGCTTTCCGAGTCATTAATTCGGAGGGCCAAATACAAGGAGACCGCTTCGCTTTTCAGCCAGGATTGCTAAACCCCCTGGCGGGATCCTGGCTACTTTTTGTGGACACTCCTCCCCAAATGATCGACCAGTTTGATTGATCTGCAGTGGACATTTGATTTGGGATCAGTGCTCTTTGACTAGTCGGTGCCCACAACCGGGGGGTAGAAAGCCAGTTGACACCAGGGCTCCAGTTTCCAGCCCTTTGCACGGGGGGGGTGGGCCTGCTTTGCGCAGTTGCGAGTGGGGATGGGAACCTTTGCGCTTATACAGGGCTCTCCTGGGAGCAGCGCAAGCTCAACGAGCGGGGATTCCTAAGTTCAAATTGGGGAGTGGCGTTTGCTGGGTTGTCCACTTCTGGACAAGGGCGGAGTGATATGGCCTAGCCCCAAGCAAGCTTCCGATTTCATCGGAAACATGGAGAGCTCTGTTGACCCTGAGGCTGATGATGGTAGTGCTTTACTGCGACTGGAATGCTCGAGGCGCCGTTGGGGGTCTTCGGGGCGGATGAGTCGGCGTTGCTTTTAATGGGAGTCCTGAGTCTGAGTCGTCAGGGCGCCACTGGAAGGCCCCTTGAGGCGGAGCACTTGGAGCCCCTGAGGTACACACAACGCAAAGCCCCCCATTCCTCATGTCTCAGCCCTGGCCTCCAGTGCTCGGGTCAGCGGTTGGGATTTCCCGGTGCCGAGGTTGCTCAGTTGGCCTTTGAAAAGACCACGCTTGGGTAGAAAATCGGGAACTGGGCTTCCTTGGTTTTCCTGGATTTTCCCTCCGTTTTCCCAAGTTTGCCGTTGTTTATCTAGGTGTCCCTCAGTTTTCCCCTGGTTTTTAACCATTGGTTTTCATTGGCCCCAGCCCAAGCCGAAGGTGTAGTCCAAAGCCATTCCCATGGCGTTTTAAGGGCTATGAAGCTGTGACTTTTAAGAGGGAGCCTCCAAAGTGGTTGGAGGGATCAATCCCCTCTTAAATGTCTACCAAAGTCAAAATTCACACCCATCAACAACGAGCTTTGTAAAAGCAAGCTCACCCAAATGCAAGTGCCTCGAAGATTGCTTATTTCCGTTTGGTGAATCATAGTACCCTTCCAAAACCAGAGACATGGACTGCCCCCTTTTTTGGGAATGGTCTTCCAGGTGTCTCTTTCTGGTTCCGCACGTGTGTTTTTTTGGGGAAGGGCAACCCCTCAACTTGTTTTTTCTTTTTGGGGGGGGGGGTTATTTTTGTTTCGGAGACGTCCTTCCCCTTCTTTTTTTTTTTTGGGGGGGGGGGGTTCTAAGGTGTTTTTCAGCGGTGTGCTGAGGCGTGGGGGGCGCCGGGGCGCTCTGTGAGACGCCTCTCTGTCTCCAGAAAGAGCCCTGGGCGGCGGCCTTGCGGGAGGCGGATCTGAGTGAGCTGGGCCAGGTTTGGAGGGTTTGGGGGTTGGTCATGTGGCGGTGACTCCAACAAACCGGTACCAAAATGGAACCCTGGTGGAAGCATGGACCAAAACCTGCGCAACCCCTCCTGTTTAATTTTGAGCCCCATGTGGCTTTAAAGGGAAAATATTCCCTTCGGCCGGCCATGATGGGTAGCTTTTCACTTGTGGTTGCAATATCGTCCTTCTTGTGGTTGTCCAACTGATGGTCATCCCATGTTCATCGGACCCTTTGATCAACCCCCACTTCGGAGGCTTGATGCTGGGTTTGCAGCCCGCAAATTCCGGACTGAGTTGGGGTTGATTGACGTCCCAGGATTTTAGGTGAAGATTTTGAGGGGGTCGAAAGATTACTTTCGGAGGGTGGGACACCCTGCTGAACCACTGGATTGTGGACATCTTGAGGATCCCGCTGTGATGGACCCAGATTTAGGGTGCAGTTGCGGTGGCTTTGCAGGGGCCCTGGAATGTCTTTCCTTTTCTCGCAGCTTGCAATTGGGACTTTGGGTCAAAGGAAACCGCAACTGGTTGACTTTTGCTCCTCCAAAATCCCTTTCGCACCGAGCCTTGTTTTTGCCAGGCATTCAAGGGGGGACACTGAAGGGTGTTGTTGTCACAGCTTCTAAGAGTTTGTTCCTGGAGGTCCTCCATTCTTGCTAACCACCGCTCTTTGGGGAACCCAAATTCCACTGCATTTTTGGCGGCCTCCAAAAAAGGACTGGAATGGAAAGAGTGCTTCGGAAAGTGCTGCTGTACCCTGATGGACTGCCATTTGCTGACTCCCTCAAAGAGCCGTTCAATCATCAAGGTGGGCATGAAGCAGCAAGCACCAACTAGCATGGGCTAGCTTCCCCATTCTACCAAGCCGCCGAAGCGGCGGTTGAAGGATGGTTGAACATTCAGAACTTTTAATACCTAGAATTCTAGCTCTCTTAGGCCAGCTACGTTTGAAATGGATGAGTTTAATTGCTTTCAAACGTGGCTCTTGCTCGATGTCTTTTTTGGGAAAAGAAAGATGGCCCAGCTAGAATGGTGTTGAACTTCGAACATATATGTGAAACACATACGGGGTGATTCTAGTCGATTCTATACCGTGACGACCTGTCGTGCTAGAGCAACGAGCTTGTGAATCAACCCCAAGAGAACCACCGCCAGCCTTTCAAGGCGCAGCGCCGGGTTTTCGAACCCTTTGAGGCCGGTGTTCGGTTCGGGGGCGAGCCTGAATTTTCGGAAGGCTTTTGCTTAGCATGGACAGAGCCCACGATCGGCAGCAGTTGGCATCTTCCAGTATTCACTGGGCTCTATCCATTTCAAGGTGATGGATGTGTCGTTGATTGAGGAAACAGAGCGGGGGCTAAACAATTAGACACAGATGCGTTTATCAGCATGCCTGAATGTGCTTTCTAAAGTCGTAAGACCCCATTCTGACCAATTAGGTCCGCATAGTACCCTTTATGGAGTGGTGGTTCAAGGGAAACCTGAGGATTCATCACGACGGGAATTTCACTCCTGAAGTGCAGGCAAATTCTCCCCCCCCCCACCCCCAATATGGGGTCCAAAAGGCTTGGACCCATCAAGGGAAGAAGGCATGAGAACACGACAAATGGGAGCATCATGTAAGAATAAGGTGTTCTTTGTGGGGAACCATTTTTGAAAGTTGACGTTGGTCAGCAAGTAGTTTGGTCGCTTGATGGCGAGCTCACCGATTCCGGGGATTTCCGTTTTGTGAATTATGGAAATTGGCCCATGCATTGCAATTCACCCATCTGTGAATGGACGAAATGCAACTGTTGATAGGTGGTTTGTCCCCCTAGTCGTTGCATTCCAGCTGGTGCAGAAGTTTGTCCATTAACGGTTTGGCTGTGGAACTTTGGGGGTGGGGTTGCCATCGGGGGGGGTCCACAACCATGCGCCGCACTGTGGACGACCAGGATGTGATTGAAACGATGGTGTTCTAACGTGTTGAGACAGGCGGTTGGCCCATCACTGACGCACTCCCCGCAGCGGAAGATGAGGATTTCGCCTTTGTCCACTCATGGCTTCTTAATGTCGACCCCGGATCAATCAACCAGCTGGATCATTGCGCGGGTTCCCCCAAAAGTGATCTAGATCCCGTCTTACATGGAACATCCCATGATTGAAGATAGCCGGATAAGTTTGGGCGCACCATTATATACCACTTGAGGTACCACAAGTAGCAAGTTCCAGTTTTGAGCCCAGTTTAAACGATACACGTTGTACAAAAAAGGAGTGTGCCCGTTAGAATGGATTTGGGTGATTCACCCCAAACATGTTGAGCTCTCAGAGGGTCGAAACCTGTGTTCAACGGGCCGAGCCGTGTGCTGGACAGCATCAACTGGCCCATTCTGCTGGACAACACGTTCGAAATCACGGAGGTGATGCAAAAAGTCACGTTGCGTGGGACTCTGGGCAAGCAGAGGCTGGCCAGTCCAAGATGCCTTGGGTCGTCACCCGAGAGAGGTGCTTTCAGCCTACAGAGAGCGTCAAGCGGGTCCAAGAGAACCGTGGTGAGCCGTGTGATGTTGCACCACTTCACTTGAGCCTTTGTTGAACCCGCCGAGTTAACGTGGGTGAAGAGTGAAGGATTCCCTGCTGAAGATTTGTTGTTCCCTGTATAATATAGTGTGTGTGTGTGTGCGACAAGCAAAACACGGAGACCAGGTGACTTTCTCCTCTCGAGGAGCGGTTCAAGTGTGTGATTGTGTGTGTGTGTGGCTCCAGAAGTGGCAATGCCTTTCAGTTGGCCCCTTGAAGTTCCTTTGACACAACATCCAGAATGATTCTTGGATCCATTTCCATTGTTTGGCCAGCCTTCAACCAGTCGAAACGAAACAGGGGAGACATGGCCACCGCCGGGCCAATTGCTTGTTGTTGGTGCCTTGACCACTCGGAAGAAGGCCGTTTCCCTTGCGCCAGGAATACGTTGAGCTCTTGTTGCATTTCCTTTGGGTCTCGTGCTTCCTTGTGGTCTACCCGTTCCTCGGCAGCAACTGGCAGCAAGACCTCAGGCCCTTGCAAGTTGCCTTAGCGCAGGGGTCCTTGAAGGATACATGGAGTTCTCAAAATGGTTGATCCCTTTTGGGCTGGCCGGGGAAACCAGCCATTGTGGAGAACCCCTATTTAGAGAAACAGCCACTTGTCGCCCATTTCGAAGATCTATAGATACCTGGTTGGACGGAGGTCTGCATGTTCCATCTGATTGTGGGGTGCATTATTGAAGGAATCCTGCCGTGGACGACTGGCATGTGCTCGAGTCTACTCCGCAATGAACATACACATCCATGCCTGACCAAAACAAAACAAAAACCGGCAGCTGCTGACGTCATTTGCTGCTGTCAGTCGAACTGCCATCGGGATGATGCCCAAACACGTTCTTGGTTTGGGTGGAAGCTTGTGGAGATTAGGACGTACCTGTCCCTTTGAGACATTAACGGGAAAGCATATTCAATTCCAAGTTGCGCACCACTTCAAAAACAGCACGGTGCGGATCAAACACGACTAGGATTTTGCCCGCATGAGTTTCGCAAGACTCATGGCCTATTTAAACGCCGTTGGCGTGTGCCGCCGGCCCCTTTGTCTTTGGGATTCAGGGCAACGGGCTGTGGATTTCCTAGGAGCTGGATCTTTTCGGCAGAAAGGAACTAGTGGGCAACAGCTGCCTTATGTTCAGTTGGTGATGGGCTGTCAGGCGGGCACAGTTTGATAGCTTCTTGGTTCCCGCCGCGTGACTTTGGCTCCAACAAACTTGCGCGCAACATTTTGCTCGGAGAGTTGCTTCAAAGAGGTCAGTGCCTCGTACATCACGGTATTTTCACCAGCATCAGCGTTACAGTCCATGTCAACATTGTGCATGTGTGAGGCGGTTCTTTCTGCGCTGCGTAGAAGTGAGGATAGCCTGACCATGGGCGAGCGCGGCTGGCTCCCGCCGGAGTCAGATTTGCTTGGAAGACTGCGACTGGCAAGCAGCGTTTCTGAGGGCGTCTGGCGGATTAGCGCCACGAGAGATTCGCAAATGGATGAAACATCTTCCCAACTCCTGCAAGGCGGAGTTCTGGGTGCTGATGTCACGAGGTACTGTGAGCAAGTGCAAGCTAGATTTGGCGAGGCCGCCACTAGTTCGCAGCGCGCGGAGGCCTGGCCAGAGGTAGCTTGGTTCAAAGCGCGAGGTCAGGTGTACCCCGTGGAGTGTCAGCTGTGCTTGGCAGATCTGTTGGAGTTGCCTTGAAACTTGGCGGTGGCTTCAAGCCCCCTGCCACCTGCCCCACAGCAAAGCATGCTGTCAAAGGAGCAGGCCGGCTTAGCTCAGGTGTGTGACATGTTGTGATACCGTGCAGGAACTTCCCTTCTTTAAGGTTTGTTCGTTGAGACAGTCTCCTTGACTTTGTTTCTGGGTGAAGCAGAGCGCGCTTGAACTATTTGCCGTTGATTTTCAAATCTCCGAGCTTTTTCCATTGTTCAGCGACACCGACGAGAAATATCTTTGTGTCTGTCGAGTTTCCCGCAAAACACGGCAACCCCACCATGACATGGCGCCCCCGGTAGCGGGTCGCTGGACAAGCCACGGGCTGGTCTGAGGCTGGGCGGTGTGCTGGCGCTGGGCTTTCAGGCGAACATTGGGAGGGAGGTGGCGTTTCGACCTCGTTTTTCCGAGAGCCCGCCAAGCGCGCCGTTGTGTGGGAACCGTCTTGTTTTTGGGTGGTGGGTTTATAGCTGTGTGTCCTTTCTATACCAGACAAGAATGATCCGCCACATTGGAGCTCGCCCGAGTCTGGGACCTCTGTGTTTGGCTTGTTGCGTGCGATCCCACGCTCTTGGCATTCAGCACGATCAAGTCTGGGTTGCAGGAAGGCCTTTAGCCCTAAGCCCACATTTTTCATGGGACCATACGGAAGCAGGGACTCTGCCGGGGACCACCTTAGTGGTTTCAGGATAATAATTTGGGATATTATAGGCTGCCCGTTTGCCACCCAAAACAAAAAACGGCCATGCTTGTGGGGAAAACCTCCGTGTGTTCTTTTGGATGGGGCAACTGGGCCACAATCAAAACCCGGGTAGATGAAGGTGAGTAAGGGACAATCCCAGCCATAAATAGTTGCGGCCGCCTTTGTATTTCCTCACATGGTTCTGGGTTCACCATGTTTGTACCAGGTTTCGATTATGACTCATCCGTTTTCTGGCGGCTACAATGAGAGCTCAATGAGAGCTTACATGTACCATTTTAGTACCGGGTTTTGATTGTGACTCAACTGGGCCGCTGCCCGAGGCCTTGGAGTTGCGCTGTGACACTTTGAAGCTGCTGGCGGCGCGACGCCAGCCCTTCCCCCGCCATGCGCGCCTGGCGCAGGTGCGACAGTGGCCCAGGGAGCGAGAGGGGGATGGGACGAGAGAGGTGCCAAGCACAAGGGCCGGGTGTTTTTTTTTTTTTGGTTGCTATTGTGTTTGGTTTTCTTACGCGTATGTTCTTTTGTGGTTGGTTCTGCGCACTTTTTGGTCGGTCTTGCTTGTTTGGCTTGTGTTGCGAGAGGGGAAACGCCACATTTTGGGAGGTCCCCCCAATTTGACAAATATTTACATAGTTGCTCTTAGGAAGCACTCTTTTGGGGCTGGATCGACAAGGTGCCCTGACATGTTATACTCTATTTGCGCCAATCATAGCTCAAAGAATCGGTTGTAATAAAATCGAGCAGTTTCTTGCAATCCTTTATTTTGCCAATCAGTGCATACATGCTTGATCGTTTGTCCTGTTTTTCGTTTGGCCGTGTTTTGTGTCAGGACCCCGAAGACGATCAGTGATCAGACTTTGCTAGGTCCTTTGGGCAGGATTCCCATGAAGGGTACCACAAGTGCAAGTGCGCGAAGTTATGCGAAGTTGTTCCCGGCATTCGCGTTACTCCTCGGCTTTTTGGGAGGTTGTTGAAGTTCCTGTTGGAGTTTGGCGTCATGTTACAAATGGACCGGACCCACGCAGTGAACAAATCAACGGCCCGAACCTGGAACCAGGGACTCCAGGATGGCGAGACAAGTCACGATATGGGCCAGCCACACATGAAAATTCACCAAGTTCCCCTTTCACTGTTTGGAATATTTTCGGAAACCGTTCCTTCTTGAAGACTTGGGTGTCACACGGACCCAGCAATGCGGGCTTGCGGCAAGCTCATCACTCCTTTCATTTGGAAGCCGGGGGCGGTTTGCGTAAGAGGAGATTTGGCCTCAGATTTGATTTTGTTTCCTTCCACTTGCTGAAGATAGTTTAGATACTTGCTGATAGTTTAGATTCATTAGATTCCCATTCGTCACAGCCCCTTTGGTGATCACCTTGATTTCCAAACCTTTCCAGCGAGTTTCGGGATTCACTTGCTGAAGTAGACATCAAGGAGCAGTCTGGCACTTGGACATGGCTCCAGGACATTTGAAAAGGTGCTATTCTCATGAGACCGTTTTTGGTGCTTGGTTTCCTTCTGCATATCCTTGTAAACCATGAAGAGCTGGATTCCCCATTTGAGACACCCTGCCCCCGGATTTCATCGGCCACTGCTGTTGGTTGCGACTCCAGAATCATCCCAATGCTTGGCACATCACTTGTTTTAAAATGGGTTGAGGCCCCCAACTCGGCAACAAGTGAGCCAACCACTGCGCCTGCGCATATCTTGCACTTGGCATGAATTAAGACCCGATGGAACAAACCACCTATCAACAGGTGCGGGATGTTGTCCACAGTATGTTGGTCATCCGCCGTAGTGCATCGGAATTCCAAACTGCGCAGGTTTGGGTGCCTGTTTGCGCCAAGCAGATCGCACGCAGCTCAGTTGTGCTGGAGTCTCAAATCATGATGTTTGGACCCCCATTGTTCAAGCTGAATGTGTCGGTATTCGTTCCCTTTTGGCATCGCTTTGAAGGCCCTGCCAGTGTGCCAGTCCTCAAATTATGTTCTCTTTGGTATCCCCTTGAAACATCTTCAATCCAATATCAATCCAAATTGCAAAGCCGTCATTGGGAGACAGGCTGTGGCTTGGCGTCCCCCGTGGCGCGGGAAAACAGCTTTTTTGAAGGCACTCTTAAGGTTGTTTTGAAGGGAAGCCAATCTGACAACACAAATCTACCTTGCGGTTGTGACACCCAAAATCCTTGTGGAGTCATCATGTTTGCAGCTATTGGCTGCATCTCTCAAGCTTGCTGGCACGAGCTTGCCCTATGCCTCAAATAGTCTATTCTGACGCAAACCTCAGAAGGCTCAGAAAAGGATGATGCAATTTTGGAAAAACTTCACAAATCTCATTTCGCAATCAAATTGGTGTGATCCCCGTCAGCTTCTTGGTATGTGAACAAATCGTCTTGCTATTTCAAGAACTGACAACTGGCCACCTCCGCTTTGTTTTCGCTCCCACAAAGTGTAAACAGCATTTCTGCAGTTCTGTTTGCGGTTCATCATTGCAAACATGTTGGTTGACTCTTTCCCATAATCTACTTTGATTGAACCGATCCTTAATCCTGGTGCCTGATGGGTGGTGGTTTTACTTGTTGTATTGATGTCCCCGTACGGGTCTCGGATTGCCGATGAGTCTCCCCGAGGTGCACATCTCCATTGCGCCGCGCTGAGTTTTTTTGCCGCGGCACTTTGAGGCAGCCTCCAAGGTACCTCACCCCCAACTTGACCCCCTGGTCGCCTGCGAACCCTTAGCATTATCAACCATTCAGTCAGCCCATGCGAGCACGATCTAAGTAGTTGCAATCCTGGTTGATTTATAGGGGCTGCCTACTTTTTAAAGCGCATCCAAGAAGCACCGCATGAATGATCCACCATGTTGATCTATCGGTTCACTTTAGGTGCTTTCGGGGTGCGAATTCTGGCAAGTCAGAGACTGCAGGTGATGAATGTGTTGGTGTTGCTTCTGCCCTACGCGCTCGCTGCACAAGGTGGGAGGGTTGAGTCACATCGTCAGGGATTCTACTTTCTGGTTGTATAGTACAGCCTGCAGCCTTGGAAGCGGCTAAGTAAGATGAACGGTCCTGTTTTGGGGTTGCTCAATTAGAATCTTCCAAACTTCAGGGAAGACAGGGCAGTTGGAGGGTACTGTGGACAGTCCCATGCAACCCACATCCATTAAGGGGCTCCATGTTCAAACAATTCGAATGTAGATCATGTGTAGCAAGGCCGAAAATCATGATTTCCAGTGAGGGGGTAAAGATCTTCCCCCAAGACGGTTCCATCCAGTGAGGGGGTAAAGATCTTCCCCCAAGACGGTTCCATCCTTGGCTGGATCATTAGCCGTGAACTCTTGGGGCAAAAAAGACAAAGTGTGTTCTCCCCCCTCCTCCCCCTCCCAACCCCCCCCCCCCCCCCGCCAACCAACCAAAGTCTAGACTTTTTGTGTTGGGCGCACCAGCCACCTAGCTTTGTGATTTGTGGCGCAGGTTGCGACGGCGATCTGAGCTTCAACGGCGGGTGCCGGAACCTCAGCGAAATGAGCCGTGGCCCCTTGTTTTGGGAGGTAGATGGCCGAAAATCCGGATCTTCCATTATGTTTGGTAGGTTTGAATCATGGCCGTATGTTTACGTCCCAATCGGTTTTGTTTGTTGCCCCCTGGGGTTTTACTCCCTCCCCCCTCTGTACAGTTGGATCGCTGCCAGAGGTGCGAGTTGGGAAGTTAGCGCGAGTTTGACAGCCTGTGATAGGCCGCAAAGGCGGGTCAACGTGCAGAATGTCCAGAACGCTCAAGTGGGCTTTGCCTTTGTTTGATTCGACCAAAGCGACGAAACAAGCAAGGAAAGACACTTCTAGAATGGTTGTCTAGTGTCGGTTGGGGGAGAACATGGGTCAACCTAGAATTTACCGAACAAATCAGTGGAAATGGCCAGCGCCAATGTTCCCCATGTTCTGTTGGGGAAGCATTGGCAACAGATGCCCGTGGCTCAGCAACATCCATTGTTCTAGTTGTAATTGGGGGAGTGTTTTGCTAGTGCAGGTTGTGCTTCAAAGTAGGGATTTGGACCCCAAAATGGGTGGTTCCCTTTGGCTTCCCTGCTCAACGACGAAAAGGGTATCCTCAAGAAACACTCACCCAACTAGGCCCCCCAGTAGTTACTCAGTAGTGCCCTTTACCTTTTTTTGGGGGAGGGTTCCCCTACTAAAATAGACGACAGCAAAAGGGTACCCTTATTCTAACCTCTCTGCTGAGGACCCAGCCAATGTGGATCGTTGCCCAGACAAACTCCCAGCCGAACCCTTGCCACGAGGCATGGGGCCCACTGCGGCCTTGGCCATTGCAGGTGTGGCGGTACTGGAGCTCTACTGGTGCTCGTTGGGGGGGGGGCTGGTGTTTGTGTGGTTCAGACTTTCCAGTTTGAGTCAGGAGATGTCAGGAGGCCATACAGGAGTTCTTTGAGGGAGATGGCAAGAAGGCCTTGGCACGCTTTGCTGGGGCTTTTTGAGGCATAGTGAGCCTGAGTCCTACTTGGGCCGTAAGGGCCCCCCAGATGGGATCCTTGGTGTGGTTTTAGCGCGAGTAGAAAATGAGCTAGAGCCTGCCACGCTGTGGTGAGCCCCTGCATGGGATCTTTGATAACTCAGTTTCAGAGGTTTCGAGTGCTTCTCTTCGACCAAGCTTGCAAACCTCCCATAAGGCAAACCAGTTTTTTTTGAACAAGCCTCTTGAGGGTCCTATTTGGGACAGTCAAGAACGGCACCTGTGCCTTTACCGGCTAGTGTAGACAACGCACCCTGTAAAGCAGGCCGTGTTTGGATGTATCGTTTCAGGAATCCCTAAAGGATCCTGCTTCTTGCTACTCGTTGCTACTCGCAGGTATGGCATTCACTTTGTGCTCACGAGATGCCAAAGTGAGCCAAAGCTGGACTGCATCGAAGAGAGCCCATGCTTGGGCGCCCGGAGAATGGGATGCGAGGTCTTTGCCAGTTGCGTTGAAAGTAAAACAAACCTGGGCGCTGGTCGTCTATGTTTCCGTCCCAAAAGAATACCCAAAGCAATGGGTGGTTACTGAGATTTCCTGATCCGTCAGATCCTTTGCACCCAGCGGGGAAGAGCAACATAGATAGGGCCCTCACATTTTGTGTTTGCCACCTTTGCCACCAGGATGAAGGTTGCTGTGAGAATCCCTTTGTTGCAGACTTACCCCGAAATCGAACTGTCCACACCCCCAACATGTACTGTGTGGAAGGGGTGAGTCTTGCCACGATACACTATCCTGGTATGTGGGTGTGCTAAAGGGAAAATGGCTGGAAGCGGGGGCACCCCCCACATATGTTGAACCAGTTGGGGGTGATTATATAGAACATAATGCCAAGTTTGAGGAGGTGCTGGCAGTGCGGGTGGTTTTGGCTATGTATGGCAATCATGGGTTGCCATGTTTGGCAGCTCCAGCCATGCTTGGCCCAGTACTAAGCAACGAGTTTTGCCAATTCGGCTGGTTATATACTCCCCTGCAGATTGACATTGAACCCAAAGAAGTTATCATTTGCAGAAAGAAAAAACACCTTTTCACGTTGAGGGGTGTTTCCCTTACTTTGCTGGCTAATCCAATGATACGGAGCCCCTAAGTTTTGGGGGTTTGATACGTAGGTGATTGCCCTTCCCACGAGCCACGGAGTTTTTTTCGGGCCTCTAGGTCTATCTCAAGGCGTTTGGATCCGATCCGACGCTCAGGCGCCGACATCGTGCCAGTGCAAAAGGTGGAGCTGAAGCTTCCAAAGGCGAAGCCGAAGTCTTGCTGCGACTGGATGTGGCTGTGAGGCTTCTGTCCATGTCGGATGAATCCGGACGGAGCTAAGTCCTCAGTTGTTCAGTGGCACCCTTTTTCCCCTTTTTTTGGTGGCTGCCCCACTAAAAATGGTCTTCCCCAAAAAGGGTTCCCTTTTTTGCAGGGTCACTGAACAACTGAGAGTCAGAACATGGATGACTGCTCCTCATCCGAGGGGTTTAGCCCGATACTTGCCCCGGATTCACAACACCTTTGGTTGATGAATTGCTGCTGCAACTTGCTTCAGAGGGCACCCGGATCATTCTTGCCGGCAACATTCCCGGATTCAACATCTATTCACCAGGTTTCAATCCAAAGTGGACGGAGCTGCTGAGGCTTCCAGCGGAAAAGCCGAAAGTTTCACTTGCATCGCACAAGTCGAAGTCGCGCCGCGCGCCGTGCCGCTGCGGAAAATTGCGCATTCCACGACAGGGGGAACTGTTGATCCAGAGGTATGGTCCAAGTTTCCCTGGCCCAAATGGCCCCAATGGGCGAAACTTCTCTTGAGCTTTGCTTGTGTTTTTAAAGGTGGAGTCAGCACAGGTGAAGGCACGGAGTCCATGCTGAGGAAGCGTGTCTTCCAAGTTCTGTGGGGTCAAAAAGTCAGCTGTGTTTGACCCTTTCTCTTGGGACCCAGACACCCGCTTGGTGCCTGTTGTTCCCGTTTTTCTTTGGAGGGGTGTCCCTTATCAATTAAACTACCAAACGAAGAGTGGCATCTCGCCATCGTTTTTTTTCTCATGGAACTCTGGGACTTTCTGGCAAAGGGTCCGGGGCTTGGAAGCTGGCGAAGCCGGTTATTCGCGAGGACATCCACCGCCTGGGTACCCGCCACCAGGAGGCCGGAGCTTGACTCTCCGATAGATATTCGAGGTTGTCAGAGCGTGCAGCATAACCTGAAAATCATGCTTGTCACTATTAGTATTATTATTATGATTATTGTTATTATCATTTTTATTAGGATTATTACGTGATTACTATTGCTATTATTGTTGCTTCATGGTGGGAAAATTAGCTGGGTGTCAAGCCAAAATATTTGTTCAGAATCCCCCGAAATGGCATTGAAAGGGACAGGTATTTCATTGTGTTGTTCCCCGTACCCATAGAGTTGGACGCTTATGTGTCAGCAGCTAGCACCCAGGCTCTTTGGATTTGGCCCAGCGGATCGTTGCGACAGTCATTCAGCGGCCCCTAGCATGTCTGATAAGGAACCCCCTGGCTTCTTCACATAAGACCAATATGAAACCGGGTTTTGAATTTGGAGACAAGCACTGGATGTCGGCGAGCTGCAAGCCAAGCAGCCAAAGCTGTTTTGTAGACACTGCAACAAAAAAAACAGGGGGACTCTATGCCAAACTCTCCTATGAGTCGCAGGGTTGACCTGTTGACCACGGCTTCTTGGCTGTAGAGGTGTGTTTGGGGTAGTAGAAGCAGGTTTCGGGTCAGCCTTAGGAAGCGGTGAAACCCCACCAACCTTTATGGAAATTGAGTCCGGGTATGTGTGAGAGTTTCCCTGAACGAGAAACCAATCAGGGAGCTCACCGAATCTCTACCCTTGTTGAGCACAGGCAAAGGTGCTCCTCCTCACATGGGGCATGGGCCGGAAGCACAGAGTGGAAGCTAGTGATGGTCACTGGCTGAAGAAAGGTCAAGTCTACTTGACAAGCCAAAGGGTGGCTGCAACGCAGATGCTATGTGTCACCCATTCGTGGACATGGCTATCAGGGACTTGCCCCACTTGTATCTATGGTACTAAGCTGCTACTGTGGATGGACGCAATTCCGAACCTAAGAATCCCTGGAATGATGATTCCCCTGCAAATACCAACCAGCAACGGTTTCCTATGGTTTCCAAGTGGTGCGTTTTGCAGCCATCCACAGTATATAGGAAGCATGATACTGGTTCAGGATCCCATGATGACCATCCCTGTTAACCGCAACTACCTCCTCCCCCCTGCCCCCTTCACCCAAGTGTCACTGAGGTATGGCCCGCCCGGCGGGCCGCCCGGTTATCCGCCAGGAGGCGAGCCCCAATGGTGGATGCCCTTACCATTTTGCGAGTGACCAACCACACCCAACCAGACCATGGTTTACTGCGGTGAATTGGGTTGGGGGGGAGGGGTCCGTTTCTTTTTGGCCCCTTACTTGCCAATGTGGCAGGCATCGACCGTAGCTGGCTGGAAACTGCATCCTTCCACTTCCCTCCTATCCCGACCAATTGCTCCCTGCAGATATCGAAAAGCCCTGCCCTTGTATCTTCTTTGGAGGGGTTCCTTTCAAATCAGCCACCAGAGTTTCCCATTCAATGCATGGCTATCGTTACTGCGGAACCGAGATACACACATTGCTTTGCTATTGCTGATGTAGCAACTATGTACTTCGATTTACCACACCCATTCAGGTAGGCGAAGGTTAGAATTGGGAACAGTTCCACAGTCCCATTGCCATATGTTCGGATAGCATGTTTTACCGGACCTTTTGATTATTTTCCACCGAGTTTGGGTTTCCGGTTGTCAAGTAGGCGTGCATTTCCGCCCGTTGGATGATTCAGCCTGGCAATTGTTAACAACATGATTTTCCTATGGTCATGGTGGAATTTGCCGTTTTGGTACCCGGTTCTGAGATTTTCCCGTGAACACTGATCTTCCACTAAACCCTGAGTCCTTGTTTTTGGCCGAAAAAAACGGTCTCAAAATGGTGAAGCCCTTTTAGTTTGTGTTTTAAGGGATGCCGCCAAAAGGACAGCCATGTGTTGGGTCCCCAAGTTTTTGCTAAAGCCCAGGATGTGGCACTTGGTGGGCTGCCCACACGGTCTATCCCAGGGTTCCCTTTTGCTACCAGGGTCACTGGGCAGCGATCGGGATCGGGTCAAACCATTTAAACTACACCAAGAATTCAGAAATGGTCTTAGAAAGGAGTGGGCTGCACGCAAAAATTGTGGAGCAGTCTAGCTTGGGCACAACGAAGTACCAAGCAAGTAAAAGCAATACTGCTCATTTCCAGGGGTTATCAGGGCCAGCAACAGAAGTGTGCCATGGACGATGTGCTGGTATTCTGTTTTTCGGCAGGACAGATGCCAAAGCTTGTCCAAAACAGGCTGTTTTGTCTAAGTCTAACTGTTTGCCGCGTTCAAGATTTGGCAACCTTCCAGGATGACATGTTTCCTGGCCACAAGAAAAAGGACCTGGTGTTGCCACCGGGCTCCAGGCTATCCGCCTCCGCATTATCCGCCGGGCCCCGGGCTCCTCGGCAGGGGCGGGGGCGGTTTTGTGGATCGATCCACTTCGCAGTTGGTTGGCTTGTGCCAATATGGTTGTGGGTCAAAACCAATGGTACCATTTTGGGGTAGGTGCACCACTCATTTTGGTCTATTTTATTGGGGATTGTGATGTTCACTGGGGGTACGGGCTTTTGACCCATGGCCATATTCATACGCGTGCGGCTCAAAATGAAAGAGCCAGTGTCACGCAGGTTTTAGTCTCTGGTTCCATTTGCCAAGGTGCCATGTTGGTACGCTTTTTTTTTGCCACAGCCATACGGCTTCATCCATCCCAACTGGTGCGAAGAGTAAATGTTCTCCACCCACAGTATGTGCCATGGTCAAAAGATGACAGGCTTACTTGGAGAGTGGGGTTGGTCAAGGACGCCTCAGAAGGGATTGGTTCGTGTGTAATTGTTTTCAGTATTTGATGCGTCCATCAATTGAATGGCCGATTGCTTGTTTCACTTGTTTGTTTGTTAATTCAGAGTGTCTTTCTTTGTTGTCGCGAATGAGATGCGTATTGAGCTGTAATATCTACTACGGTTGAATGTTTGATTGCTCCATGGCATTTGAGTATATCATTTCATGATGTTGAGTACCCTTTCTGTTCAGCTGTTCAGTGGCGCCGGTACAATGGTCAGCCCAAAGATGCGCCCTTTTTCTACCAAGGGGTCGCCTGAAATGATAACGGGTTTGCTTGTTGGGAGAGCCCCCTTAATATCAAGCAATTGTTGGGGCATTTGGCAAATCGTCCGGAGAATGTAGTACTAGGTTTGTATTCCTTAGGAATTCATGAGTTGGGAGAGTTCATTGGAGGGAGGTTCATTCTGAGCCTTGCGATCCTGGGTAATATGTTCAGACTGAACAATGCGCACGCTTCGGGTGAACAATGCCACTGCGTATTCCAAGCCAACGGCTCAAGAGCGAGACGCGCCAACGCGCGGAGTTTGGGCGCAGCTCACTTTCCAAGTCACCGGCCCTTCAAATCGATTTGGACCTCACACGGATGTTTTCTTTGCGACCTCACGATTATTGCAATGTACTCAGATGAATGGATTTCTTTTGGTAAACCTCTTGTTGGGTTGCTTGAATGGGGGTACCAAAGGAAACAATCCGTTGACACGCCCTGAATGTGGACCATCGATGAAATCATGACGAAGCTCCTTTGGGGATTTTGTTTGCATTCTTTTGCAGGTGGGAGCTTCCGGGTTTTAGGTCGCAACTTTCTGTGAGCCACGGGAGTTTTAGCTGAAATTCCCGACGGGAATGAACCATGGAGCCAATGGAGCCTATGCCAATGCTGAGCAGAAGCCTGGCACTCGGCAGTTTTCCTTGCGCTTCTCTTTGTGTGGTTTGCATGTTATGCGGTGTGCGTGTGTGCTGTGAGTTTTGCATGTGCTGTGTGTGTGTTTGTGTGAGTTTTCTGTGCTTGTCTCAGTGTTTCTCTTTGCGCCTCTCTTTGTGTTGCGTGCTCGATTTCCATTTCTGTGACTAGGTCCCCCAGCGAGGTGCCCTTTCTCACCCCTTTTTTGGTTGGGAGGGTTTCTCTCCTAAAATCGACGACAGAAAAAACTCGGGTACCCTTATTCTAAGCTCTCTACTGGAGGACCTAGACAACCACAAAGACGAAGGCACTCTTACGAGCCACAGGGTCAAGAGGACTTAGGTGCTGCGTTTGCCCGAGGATCGTCACGCAGCTGGTGGCCTGCGCGAGCCCCTGGAATGTGGCCGCTCAGTGCACACCGGGGGGTTGGTCCTTTGGGTTTTTTCCTCGGGTTTTGCTTCGGGAATGTCCCTACTGTGGATGGACGAAATCTTGCACTACATAAGAGCCCCTGAAATGATGATTCCACTGTAAACGCCAACCAACACTGCTTTCCCATGGTTTTTAATTGGTGCAGAGATTCGTCCATCCACAGTAGTAACCCAAAAGCACTAAACGAAAGCGTAGCCTAAAGAATGATGCACCCAGTTCTAAAGTCAACAAAAACGAAAATCCTTTTGTGTGTGTGTGTGTGTCATGGTCGTGACTCCCGAAAAAAGAATCCTTACAACGGTTGGCCAAGTTCCCGATTTGGACTATGGCACACAGGAGCGACGGGAATTGGTCTACCAGGTACCTTGTAAAGCGTCGGGTTTTGTTTTGGGTCCGTGTTGTCACTTCGTGCGCATCTTTCTTGGGGTCCAAAAGGGGGGCGCATAGCCCGTGTACACATAGCCCTTTGACCCTTTCGGAGCTTCCTGCTTCCGTTTCAACCAGCAAACAGTTATCACCTTTTGCAGGGGAGTGGTTCAGTGGTTGATCTCAGGTGGAGGAGACCAAGGGCCAAGGTGGGAAATCCACCCCAAGTCTTTTAGCTTAAGAATATGTGGCTTTTTCTCTGGCTTTAAAGTTGGAATCTGTCACTGGAGCTGTGTGCTTTTATTTCTTCCAGGGGCCGCAAAGGATGGAAGATTCATTGAATCCGATCCCGCTCTCAGCCGAGGTGGGCCCAGGCATGGAGTTCGAGCGCATGGAAGACTTCTTCGCCCCGCCTTTGGAGAACTGGGGCGGGCCCTACAGCGCCATGCGCGAGCCTCAGGGAAGCGGGCGCGTACATGTCCAGCCTGAAAAGAAGGTAATCAGAGTCTGCTTGACCCCTAGAACCAGGGGTCATGACCCCATTTCTCATTTTAAAGGGTCATGGAGACTCCAGGTAGTTTTGAAGTTGTAAGTGTTTGAAATTGGAAAGACGGTCTGAAGCATCGCCTATGTGAAAGGACAAGCTAAGTTTAGCTCTCTTCCGATTTCAGTTGTGGATGCCACCCTTGAAATCCCTTCTTGCTCGGATCCCCAGTAAAATTGATTCTGTTTTAAGGGAAACCAACAGGAAACCAAAATCCATTTCGGTGTCCCACACAAAGACGCACCCAAGTGCACATTTGCAACTGCCTTGTGAGCTATGCTTGACTGTTGTCCTGCAAGCACTTGCATCGATCCAATGTCGAATCGCAATTTAACAAATGAAGGGGATGATATTGGCAGAATACAGAACATGCAAGGTCTCCCAGTCGTTTGCTGAAATTGGATATGCCCGTGTAGGTAAACACAGGTAAACACAGGGTTCCGTTTTTTTGACTAATTCAAGGTAGACTTAAGCCCAGCGGTTTCCCTTTTGGGGAAATCTACCACTGGGTTTAAGTCCACTGTGTTGTCAAAACACGGAACCCTGGGCGAGCTCTTCCAGCCTGTTGGCTCAGCCCGGTGGCATGGAAGAGTGTTGCCGGCAACCGGTAACTTCAGGTGAGCTCAGGGCAAGCTCTTGTGCAATGGCTTTCTATTTTTTAAGAAACATAGTATTCATTGTATTCAATAAGCTGAGGAAGCACGTGCCTCATGTTTCGCGAGGCTGGACTTCCTGCTGCAGCAGGGCTGGCTGCAAGGGCTGCCTCTGGACCTGCGGAAGCTTCTGCTGGTGAGCGTACCCTTCTGCGGGGGCTTTATGGAGCCATGGCGCGAGGGTGTTTTGCGTCTTATGGCGGGGACTCGCCAGGGGGAGGGTTTGGTGTCCTCCAGCCACTATCATCTTTAGTGCATTTTGCCAAGGGATGTTAGGACTTTAGCTTTTTGCCAATTTTGGATGTTTTCCGAGTTAAACCACTAAAAGTTATTCACTGTTAGCAGGGGGGGGCAGAAATCAACCGAGTCATGGTGTATTTTGTTTGTGTCCTCCAGCCACTTTGGAGGGGTTCCCTGCTAAAAAAGCAAACATAAGTGCAGGGATGGATGAAGCTCTGCGAAAACAGGGATAACTATGGGAAGCATTTGTTTGCCCATCTGTAGCAACCATCATTGAATCATTCTGAGCCACTCTGTTCACCCATAGTTCTATTTCAGAAGCCACTCATTTTCTCGGGGTGTTGCGCCATTTTCTGAAGGATCCTGAAGAGAGTGAGGGGGGGGGCAGTATGGCTTAAATGATGTTTCATTTCTCAGCTAGAACCACAGGACGGATGACTGCTTAGGTTTTTCCAGAGCACCCCCCTTACCCCCCGATCACAGGATTCCTTTGGGCATGCAACCCCTCAGCACGCTCCCCGTTTGAGGCCTAAGGAGATGCCTGGAGGGTCCAGGGTGGGGCCATGACGTTCGGCTGCGTCAATTTTGGAGGTACTTTGTTTGGGGCCGTTTGTAAGTGAAACCAAATGGACGTCACCTATTTTCCGGTCACCTATTTTCCGGGTGTCTTCTCTATTCAGCGAACCCAGTTGTCAAAATGTTAACTCCCTTTTTGAGGGTACCCTCACAGGTGAACGGAAGCCTTGAAGCTGGGAGTTTCTGATGGATTTTGCCTGGGCAACTTGTCCAGATGTCTCACAATCCACACCCTCCTTTGCATCGACCCCTCAACACCCACCATTCCCCAACCACACACCTTGGAGAAGACTAAGATAGGCCGAGTCAGACGTGTCAGGCTTGCTTCCAGCCGGGGAGGATTGGGTTGGATGTGCGCCAGCAGCAGCCCCCTTTTGCTTGGAATTGGGGGAGGGGCATTTCAATTTATGGAGATCTCCACTTATGGCAACCAATTTCCCCTGTGATGGAAGACTAGATCAATGAGATCAATGGCTGATAGAACCTCCGACCCACCCCCTCCACTATCGGCAGGGATGTCCATCACTCAGGAGTGCCCTGCACTGCCGCAGTTCCTTACGGAGAAGTGGCTGCCGGCGAGCCAGGCCGCGCGTTTTTTTCAGTGAGCAATGTGTCCAGGGGTCCACACAAATTCTTGGGTTTCCTGTTGGTTTCCCAAAAAGACAAACCCGAAAAGTCTTCCCTCGAAGAAAGAACGCGCAGACATAGTAATGAAGACCCTTTGCTTGGAGTGAAGGATGCAATTATGATTAGACATATTGCGTTTTGCAGTTTCCCAAAAGGACACCAGAAACAGCTTTGCGGATGAGTCTTTCTCGCAGTTTGGCAGTCGATTGCATCCCCTAAGTGGGGCTAAGACCTCTAAACATGGGTGACATCACCGCGGCACCTTCTGAGTTGCCAGGACTTTGTAAGTTTTTTTGCATGGGTGATGGAACGTAAATATGAGACACTACTATTCCAATTCCAAATGAAACCGAAGAATACATTGCATTGGGTCAACATGTATTGCCTGGGGATTTGCCTGTGGGTGATGTTCTGAGGAGAGCATGCGAGAATCTCAGTTTCGAAAGATCCTTGCAAAGAACAGGGAAGTTACCAATAGAAGGATTTTCTCTTGTCACGTCACGTCAGCCTATTCTACTGCGCTTGCAGTCTACAATGTCCATTCATCTAGGGTTGGACAGAGAGCAACTGCATTGCACAACACCAAGAAAGCAAACAAAAACATTCCCAGCAAACATGTGTCCAGGGCAAATTAGATACCCCTTGAACAAAAACAGTAAGGGCAAGATTAGCCGCGTTTGTCTTGCACAGAACAAGCTGCGTTTCCGTGCAATTTCTTTGCGCAAGTTTCTTTGCGCAAGTTCTCTGAGCAAGTCTCTGCTCACAAGTTATTTGGGCAAGTTTCTCTGGGCAGAAAAGAATGGGTCCCTCTTGCACACAAGAAATGCATATGTGCTGGATTCAAGATTCACAATTGCCCAGGAAAGCCTTATCCAGACTCTTGAATCCTAATTTGAGATTATATAGTATAGAGTATGAAGCCATGTTACTGTGGTTTTGGACACAAAGTAGCTCCACTACAGCAAGACACTAAAACAAGCATTCCAAGCAAGATGTAGACATGCCAGACCCTGGGGAAATTGCGCCCTGGAACAAAAAGGAGAAGCATCTTTCGAAGAAAACGAAGGATCTTCAACATTGAAGCTTGGCTTGCCTATGAAAATGGTTGGGAAACTGTTTGGTCAACTTGAAGTACCATATATATATATATATACATATATATATATATGTATGTGATTATATGAATACAGTGGATGGACAAAATCCTGCACCACATTGAAACCATGAGAAACCATTGTTTGTTGGTATTTACAGGTGAATCATCATTCCAGGGTTTCTTAGGTGGTGCAGGATTTCGTCCATCCACAGTAGGTCATCCCCGAGCTCAAATGGTCAGGCGGCGGGTGCCTCGATTCTGGGCACCGACGAGCGTTCTGTGGGGGCCTGGGCGGCCAAGGAGCGCTTCGTGGCGCGCCCTTCGGCTTCGACCTTTGGTCTTCGGGGCGTTTCCCGGAGAGGGCTTTGTGACATACCCAAGTGGGTGGACGAAATCATGCACTACTTGTTTGTTTTGGTATGTACAGGGGAATCGTCATTCCGCGGTTTCTTAGGTGGTGCAGGATTTCGTCCATCCGCAGTAGGTGTCCATTTTAGGACTTTGGTGTTCATGCCTATGGAGTTCCCGAATGAGAAGTTTCATCTTTGGCAAGGCGAGCCACTGAGCAAGGGAAACCGGGGCATGTTTAGATTTTTACCCCAGATTGGGCTGGGATTTGAAGTGTGCGTTGATTTTGGTGCGGAAACACACAAATTGCCCACCTGGTTCGGGGGTTGGGGTGGGCTTGGCGGGGATCATTGCCAGACTTAGCTGATTTTGGTTTCAACCAGTAAACTCTTTGGGGTCCGGTCGCAGTCCGGCCGAGTGTTGACTTTACCAAGGTTCACCAATATACAGATCAGAATGTAAACCTTGAATTTTGGGTTGGGGGCAAAAGCTGAGGTAGGTTGGGCTTTGGAGGGTTTGTAAGGGTTTGCACGGATTTTGAAAGGGTTTGGGGCTTAGGGTTTTGGAGGGTGGGCTTGGGGTTTGGGAGACCTTGGGAGACTAAGTGGGTTTAGGGGCAACGGGTGTTTATATTCCAAGAGATGTCGTGATGCCCAGTCGGTGCGTGCATTCCACCCTTCAAACCTCTTCGTTGTCTTGTTTCACCAAGCCGAAGCCCTTCTTCCAGTTGTGAGGCATCCTTCCCTTTTGGTTTGGGGTTCCTACTGATCCTGGCCCCATCGAGAAGTGGTTAGACAAAAATTGGGCCAGTTGCGGTTGCCGCTTGCCGCAGTGCTTTTGCTGTTTTGTTTTTTGTTCGTATATGACCGATGTCTGGACCAATGGTAAGCCCAAGCCCGAGCCTCTGCCAAATTTGGGTTGAACAACATAGAATATATGCGCATTTGGCCTGTTTTAGCCAGTGGATGCCGCATTTGCTTTGTTTGTTGTTGTCGTTTTGTATGTTGTTATATGGCCATGGGTCAAAAGCCCGTACCTGCAGTGAACATCCCAATCCCCTATAAAATTGACTAAATCGGGTGGTGAATTCACCTTCCAACCAAAATGGGATCCAAAACGGTTTTGTCAACCACAACCATGTGTTTTTCACCCCAAAGGGCAGAGGAAGCTCGGGGTTGGGTTTGGTCGCATCGGAGACTCTGAGGCAAGTTCCCGAAGCTGGCGCTGCAGCTCCGCGCCGCAGACCTCATGGCCTTGCAGCTGCCCAAATGCGCGGCTGTTCGGGAGACCGGGGGGCGGGGGAACGTCGTTGTGTGGGATAGGGAATGAGACATGGAATGAACCGTTTTGGGATTCCCGAAGAAAGGAAACCAAAGGTTTTTTTTTTCCCCGGGGTCTTTTTAAATTATCATTCCCTGCCGAGAGGGCACCAGCAACTAATGTCACGGGCCATCCCTTGTGCGAGTGTCCGGTTCTCATCTGGTGCTTTTGCAAGGCTAAAGAAAAGCCAACAGCAACACCCGTTCCGTTTTTGAGGGGCTGCTGGGAACGGGGGGTGGGGTCAAGTTTGAAATGTGTTGGGTGTGAAGTTAAATTAGAGCCCCTGTGAACATCATTTACCTGGGGATTTGTGTCCACCAACCAAGTATTTGGAGGGGATGGATGAATCAAAATTTACAGCCTTCGTGGAATATCCCAATGTTTACCAGTGGTGTTTATCACCTGATGACGTCCAGTAAGCATCCATGATTTGTAGCAAACCTCTTGCAGAATTCAGAGGCTGTTGTCATGTAATTACCCTTGAGAAATTACCTCTCATACCCCCCGCAGCCATATACAGCATAGATGGGTAGTTTGGTACGCAGAAATTGTAAATGGGGTGGCGGGTATGGTTTTTTGAAATCACCCCAGGACAAGGCCCTTTGTGCCCCCTGTTTTGCGACAGGCTCCGTGAGTCTGGGCGTTCATCCAGAAGCCACAAGGACAAAGTTTGCGAGTGTGATCGGTGGCTCAAGCAGCGGCAGTTGGTTTCATGTGTTCGTCTCTTGGCGGTTCCCAGACGTCCCCTTAAGTTTTAGGTTGGGTTTAGTGGTTGGGCGTTCGGTAAATTCACTGTAATTTTTAGAAGCGGATGTGAGGACAGCCCAGGTCTTGATTAAATAAATCATTCGCTTAATTCCGGTTCCGCACTCAACAGGTGCTTTATGTTTGAAGCCACTTGGAGTCTGAAGTTTGAAAGACCCATCTGATGAAATCAATTGAATGGGTGATGTGGAAAGGGCAAGTATCAGAGTACCTGTCACCAGGCTCCATGGCTTTTTGTTGCGAGCAGTCCCCGAGGGCCCTGGTGGGTAGAGCTGGCCCTAGCATCAGCAGCCAGACATGCAGACAGGCAGAAGCCGTATGCAAAGAAGGCAGGCAATCATACACACACACAACGTTGAAACAAGAACAAGCAAAAAACGCAAGAAAGCACACAATAAAGCACACGCCAAACATGAAACAGGCAAGCACGCGCGGACATCGAGCACCAAGCCAATGATACTATGCAGCAACACCATCATCAATAGCAGCAGCAGCAGCAGCAGCAGCAGCAGCAGCAGCAGCAACAACAGTAAACACAAAACATTGTCACCCACATACTGCTTCCAAAGGCATCCCATAAACGGACGGTAATGCCAATCTGCTTTGGGAGGCAAGCAGCTGTTTGACGATTCTTACTTAATGCCTTGCAGGCACATCAGACGAGCCGAAATAGAAAACCCGTTATATGTGTGGATGTCAGTTGTGTTGGGCGTATCAAATCAGCTGCACCGCCGCTTGTAATTTGAAGGGCACGAGTGTGTTGCAGGAGAGGCCGCGCAAGTCAAACACGGGGCTGCGCAAGTAAAGCGCAAGTGCAGCGCAAGTGACGCAGTGATGGTTCATCACCATGGCCCAAAAATTAACAAGTTTTTGCGCGAAGTTCCGCGCAAGTCGCGCGGAGCCCGCAGTGGCCCATTTCTGTATTTTGCATGTTCTTTTTTCTGCAGGTCTCATCAATCTTGCCGAGTGAATTTGTTAGCAGAAAATTTGCGGCGGTGTATACACATGAGACCTCATACACCTAAAGGGGCATGTATTGGAGGACCTTATGCTTATGAAGACCGCCCCTTGGATTTGCATGAAAACAACTTGGGATAAGAGTTTCAATACATGTTTTTTTTCTTTTTCTGACCGAGTTTGATCTTGTTATTATGGGGGCGTTGTTCTTATGTGGTTTGTGCACTTCTCGTTTATGCCTTGGTTCGTATTTGTACTAGTTAGTCTTTGTTTTCTTCATGCGCAGGAAGGGCTGGGCTGAGATCATCTCTAACGTGGTTAGCAGCCTTTTGCCCGGCGGCGTGTGCGTCTTTGCTACATACTTCGACATCGTTCCTTGGCGCAGGCGTCTAAAAGCCCGGGCAAACGCAGTCGCAGATGTTGATCATGTCTCATATGCCTATGATGGATTTTGTTTCTGATATGTTGATTCCATGCAAGGTGCCAAACAAACAAGGGGAGGTTTCGCAACTTTAGGAGACTCTCGCCCGATGAAGAAACCTCCGGTTTATATAAGGTTTTTTTTTCACGAAGCAACGGTCAGTCAACGTCACACCATCATGTTTAATCATGCTTAGTGAACCAAGGTTGAAATCTCAGTGACCCGCCATCTTCCCCGGAACTCCAGTGGCGTGGGAATGGGAGCTTGGAAGGTCAGGGGAGCAGCCTCAACAGCAGACATCCAAAGAAGCGAGACGCGGAAGCCAATAACCAGGTTTTCTCCCGCGCGGCATGGCCAAACCCGGGACGCAATATAAAATATTGTCGCTAAGTACATCTAAACAAGAAAGCGACACAATTGTTGGTTTGAGACGCAGATACTTTTCCAAGTGTGACGTCAAACAACTGGAACACAATGAGCCGAAAACGTAAGCCACAAGTAGCCCAGACCTTTATTTACCAATTTTAGACAGTTGACTTGAAAGGAACATCCTGATGGAAAGTCAACATCTCCATGGTACCAAAGTTGTTGACTCCCGTCTTTTCACTTTCAAATACATCCTGGGATCCCATTCACGTCATTCCATTGGTGGTTGAAGGAGAGGCATTTGGGATATCGTTCCTCCAAGACAGGTTCTCAGCACCCTTCTGAGAATCCTGACGTTCCTAAGAACCTTTCCAAGGGGTGAAACCTTTAGCAGTGTGAATTCAATCCGTTGAGCCCCATGCCATAGCAATTAGAACCACGCCTGCTTCCAGCCAAGCTCTTGAATGTCGACTCAGGAGGCGGCCGAGGTGCGCAAAGTGGCCGCCAGCAAAGGCTTGCGCCTGGAAACCTTTGAGAATCCCTACTACCAGGCGGGTTGCAATGCGGCCATCGCTGCCGTTGAAGGGCTCTGAGTCACTATTGGGCCAAAAGAGAATGGGCCATGTGGCATTTCCCCAACCCAAGCCATGTGTGGGGCTTGGTGGTTGGCCTTTGCTGCACAAAGGCCAAAACCACGAAACGCGCCGGGTGGCCCAATTTCGGCTTCCTTCCAGGGGGCCTCAAGACTCAAAACGCCCCGAGGCGGTGGCGCTCGACCGTTTGGAGCGGACTGCTGCGAAGGAGGTTTGCTCCAAGCACAAAACTATGTACTTGGTATGTCACAATGCTTATGTTATATATATATATATATTATAAATATTCAGGTTTATAATGTATAGATGATTTCGTGCATGCCACCAAGCACCATCTCGAATCCAAGCATGGGTTTACCTCTCGGCCGAACTCACTGTTTTGTTGCGGAAAGTCCAGTTGGAAGTGGGAGCAACGCTTCATTTTGTCAAAGAGAGGGTCAGGTAAGTCCTGGCTCCGCTCTAAGATGCTCAAACTGTTCCATCCAGCTGCAAAGAATAACCGAGTACACCACCACTTGTCACTACCCACTTGCCCAGTGGCGCCCTTGTTTCCTTTCTTTTGGGAAGGGTTCCCCTTCAAGCTCAACCAGCCAAAAGAGGATGCCGATTCTCCCATGGAAATCCACTGGGCCTTGGCCGTCTCTCCGAGCCAATAGACTCAAGCTTCTCTCCCAATACCCGGGTCCAGTGCAACCAGCTTGGGCCCTTGCTGTGTCCTTTAAAGATGCTTTTTGGGAACGCTGCGACACTTAGTTTTCTTGAAGCAAACCCTTACTCCCGAACGCAACAACACTTTAAATAGCTTAGTGCCCATTATGTTGCCTTTAGACATGCATTTCTAGGTGTTGATGCCGTCTCCATTCTCGACGGTTCAGAACTGACGGTTTTGGGCTCCGTGGTCGAATGTGACATTTCCACCTTCCGATGAATTTGCTGCAATTCTTCAGGCGCGGCCCATGCCAGCGTCTCCGTCCATGCGCTACATCCTGGTGGGGAGAGTTTGAGTGCGCGGAAAAAGAATCAGCTGCCGCAGTGAGCCTCGTTTTGACATACTGTTGTTCAAGCGGAATTTGCCTTTGAGGCATGCGTAGCTGTGGAACATTGTTGGTTTTAGGCTTTTGTGTTGCCACTTTCTGTGATAACAGCCCCTCAAAGTGCTTTGGTATGACAGAAAAAGGGTTCCAGAAACTCAGGGCAGGGTACTCTAGAGCTTGGTTCCTTGTCCATTCTTTTCAGCTATCACTACCTTCTGGGGGGAACCAACAACAACACAGATCCAAACCGTGTTCTAGAAGGCGGGATCAGTTGCAGCTACCCGCAAGCTGCCTTGTGACGTGTTGTTTTTTCCAGGCACAGCCTGCAGGGGTGATGCTTCACTAGAGGCAGGGTCCTTTATTGTTCAATCAACATCCTTGGGGTAGAAGCGAATTGGTGGTTGGAAGAACAGCGAGGGATTTTTTTGGGGAGGGGAGGTTTGGGGATTCACCTGGTACACACCCAGCCACACAGCCACGGTGAACTCGGGGCTTCCTTGTTCTCTTACTTGCAATATTAGGGCATCCACCGTAGCTTGTTTGTTGTCTGTTTTGCCTCTCGCGCTGTCCACATGTTTCCCTTTCACGCTGATTTCAAGCAGCGAAATGTCACTTTGTGTGCAGGGCCGGAGTCTGGCCCGGAACACAGGGTGAATCTGTTCAGGCTTCTGCGAGTTGGACAGATGTATGGATTTCCTCCTACATGTGGTTCCGCCATCCTGTGACAGGAATCTGGTCCTTGCTTTTTGACATTTGCCCGCCCTGTCACCCAACTCATACCCCTGAAACATGGGTTGAACACCCACAAATCAAGGGTTCCATAGTTGTACCTTGAAGGTCGTACGCCCAAAATTGCGCCATATATACAACCCGCTTCGCCCTTCTGCAACGCCAACTCCTCATCTGCCGGAGCGTACAACCGAAAGGGTACAATGAAACCTGTGAACCGCCGCTGAGGCATCACCATGGCCCGCCGCACGGCCCGCCGCATGGCCCGCCGCATGGCCCGCCGCACGGCCCGCCGCACGGCCCGCCGCATGGCCCGCCGCACGGCCCGCCGATGCATCACATGCATCCGCACATGGGCCCCCCCATGGGCCCGCCCATGGGACCACCCATGGACAAAGGCTGCGGCAAAGGCGGGGCGGTTGGCACCCTATTCTTCAGTGGCACCCTGGTTCCCCTTGTTTAGTTGGCTTCCCACGTGTGAAGAAGCCCAGGTGATATCCCCAACAGCATACGAATAGGTAGAAGAATGCCTACCTCCAAGAGCAAACAAGAACCAGGTTGTTGTGTTTGGGTGAGGATCCACATATGTGTCCAATCAGGTCTTAAAAAGGCCATCCTGCACAAAGGTTCGAGCCGTGTTGTAGTTCGAAGTTGGTCCCGGCAATTCGATTTCGAATGTGGGAACGAGGGATGAGCAAAATGGGCAACAGCCATAGCAAACCCTTACGCCATGAATCCCTCAAAGGGAAATCTAAGGTAGGCTCCGATGTATCAAAATCATCGTGTGGATATTGCGCTGGGATTTGTTCGTTTCAAGGCAAACCATGACGAATGGTATACCTATCTATGGTCTCACTTTCCAAGTCTCAGGACTTCTTATGTAAAACAGTTTGGTAGCTACCCAGCAAGCTTCGACTTGAGGGACACTATACATGTTTTCCCGGGGCCAACAGATTATATAAGGTGCGCTGTTGACCCTCCCATCAGCTACCATACAAACATCCTGTTGATGGACAAAGTCCACTTTGCAGCTGGGATTGGGCGGTTTGTCAAGCAACATGGTCTCATCCATCCCACGGCTTGCAGTTGAAACAAAAAGATGGCGTAGGGACCTAGGGGTTCGAGCCACGGAGCTCTTCCGCCTTCTCGATCTCGACGATCTCCAGGCCCGCCGATGCCGTTGGAGCCTGGACGATTTCAGGCCGGGTTGGGGTGCAAGGGAGGCATCGCCAGGAAATACTGGTACAATTGAACGGAAATCTCAGCACCCGGGGTGCGAGTTCGTGAAAGTTCCTGCTTGCTTCTTAGAGATATGATGTGTTTGGAAGGCTCTTGAAGGGCACATTCTGCCGTTCGAGTCGCTCAAGGACCCAACCAATCCTGGAGGGCCTTGTTGTGACCGCTTTAGCTTTTCCTCCTAGCAGAAGGTCACTTTTAGAGGGAACTGATTTTCCAGGGACACCAGTCTGCAGTGAGGTTCCATGTTAGTGGGGGGGCGCCTTTGTGAACTTGCACCGCTTGGCTTCCCATCAACAACAAGCGACAACTTGTTGTGTTCGGATCAGCTTGGCCCGGTGCGTTCCCTAAACATTGGACCGTGGTAGTAAGAACCTCTGCATGGTTCCGGACCTTCAGAAGGGCCATGCCAAGATTCTTCCGGCCATATGTCTCGCAGATGTTTGTCAGGACTTGGACATGCTTATTAGATTATTAGAGGCACTTGTACCTTTTGGGACTTCAGATATGCCTCTGTTTGGTTGATGTTTGTCAGGTTTCTGGTTTGTCACTTGGGGATCCACGCTAGCTATTGATGGCCATACCGTGGATGGACAGATTCTTGCACCAGTTGGGATGGACGAAAAACCTGAGCAGGATAGGGATAAGCCGCCTGCTTTCTGCGACATCCTTGGGAAATCCCCAAAATCAAATGCCAAACAAGTGGGAAATTGAACTGAGCCCATTTTCCACGTCAACCACGCCAAGCCCGTGCCCAGGGAAGGATAAAGACTTTCAACGCGAAGCACGGCTTCGGTTTCATCGATTGCCCGGTGGCCAACGACAAGTTCGGCCGCGACGTTTTCATCCACAAGGCCGGCAGTTTGAATCGGACGCCAAACCGCTGATTTTGATGAAAGAAAAGTGCACCATGGAGCCAGTGAACACTGGATGTGTCATGATGTGTCCAAGAAGCAGGGGCTTTCTTTCGAATTGCGGTGCTGTTTGGTCAAGGGGTGTCAAACGGAAACCAACCCGCGGGCTTTTCCTATTTGTTTCTACATGGGACACACCCTGCAGACTCGGCTGCGGCGTTTGACCCACGACCTTTGCCTCTTTGTGCGTGTGTATTTCTGGGAGCCTATCGCACCCTAGACCCTAGGCAATTGGAAGTTCGGCCATTCGGAACATGGCCGGAGTATTTCTGCCGCACCCACTCCCGAGCCAGCCGGGCCCAAGGGAATGCCCTTCGCGAGTTCTGTGGTCCGGATCGGAATCCCGCTTTGGTATCACAAGGAAGCGTTGCACTTGCCATGTGTTTGGCAACAGGTCTGCTCCTTTACGGCTTCAGGATGACCAAACAAGGGTAAATTATTAGCTTGGGGAAGCTCTGGATACTCCAAGTATGGTGTAAACCCACGGAGCCGCGGAACCATTCTAACGCAGTTTTGTCGTTTGTTATGGTGTCACAGGTTCGGAAAGTCGTAAGTAGGGCCTTCCACGCAGGCGCAGATGGGCGACGTGCCGGTGGGCTCTGACATCACCTTCGAAGTGAGGCGGAACTTCGCAATCGGCGGTAAGAATGCAGCACGCTCAGGGTTGATTTAGGCGGAAATCAAAGAAAGGACCCTTTGGACTTCAAAGTTGGTGGGGATGTGTGTCCACCATCCACTTTTTCAGGGGGCTCCCCAGTAGAATCCTCAGCCACTTTGTCCCACGTTGACATGGTTAATTACTCGGCCTTTGTGATGGACAGGTTGAAATGTTTTAAGGGGGTGGTTCCTTGATTATTTATGTTCAATCGTTCCTTTCAACAACCAGGCTCCTTCTCCAGGTACGTTGATGTTTTCGTGATCAACTTGTTTGTCCTAGTTGGAATCCGGACTCAATCAACAAGTCATGGGGATGCAGAAGGGCCAACCATGGCGGGCCGAACTAGTTGTTTGGTTTAAGGTGTTTGTGAAGTTTGGAGGCGGGTTGAAATGGCAGTGCTTCTCGATTGAGCGCTTCAACGAACACTTTTGGGGGGGAGGGGAGTTGTTGTCGGGGGAAGCGTGAAAGTATGGTGGCTTCCTTTGTGTTTCTTTAAACCAACCCCACAGAACCAGCTAGACCCACATATTGCCATGTGGAGATAGGATCCGCCTTTAGGGAGCACCGAGAGAGTGGCGGATGCGCTGATTGCCACTGTGGCCTTTGCGTGTTGGAGGACATCATTGTTTGCAACGTCCGTTTTCTGGCGGTGATATTTTTTTATTTGCTGCATTCACTTGAAGACAACTAGATCAAACTATGAGTGGTGAGTTGGCAAATCAGACAGGTTTGCTTCTCAGTGTAATTGGTATGAGTGGATGTAAAGCATATGGTACGTACAATTGCATTTGTTTTCAGCTCCTCGTATTTATGTCTGGCTGCCTTTTTGTTGGCCAGGCAAAACAAGGACGGCCATCCGCAGGCCAAGGCGCATGGCCGGTTTTCCGATTCGGTATCGCTCATGTCAGGTCCGTGTGGTGTGATGTGGTGTTTAGACCGAGTTGAGATTCAATCCTTTGTGGAAAATCTGAGATAATGTGGTATTTGTTGGTGGTGGTTGAAATCTCTTTTGAGGGATTTGCTTGTGATAAGTGTTGTCGCATTTTGGTATTTGGGTGGTGGGTGTAGCTTTGTGTCCCTTAGCAACAAGGGTGATGCGCCAAATTGGGACTCGGCCTATGCTTCTGTAATTTCAGTCAGCAACTGGAGCCACTTCCCTTACGTTACATATCACTTGGGGATCTTTAAGCTTTGCCAGTGGGGAAGCTAGCTAGCTACGGGCCAAAGGGACTCACCTGAGTGTGGGCGCGAGTGCCTGTGTGCCTGTGTGCGTGTGTGATAATAGCTTTGTCATCCATGTTGCCTGTGTGCATGTACTTCATTTCTCCGGCTCTTTGTTGGAGACGAAACAGCCGCCCACAGCCACACCAGCCGGCAACCATTTCATGGTTCCGAGTCAGAGCAATCGTCCACAGGCAACCATTCAATGGGTTCCTCAGTGCAATCCGACCCTCATTGCTGGATTTGTTCAATCGGGCATCACCTTTGGTCTAGTGATGCTGGTTTCTTTCTTGGATTGTTTATCCTTCATTGATTAGGGATTTTGTGTAATTTGTATAAAACTATTCCCTTTTCCAGATGGGTTTTTGACATCACCTGTTGGTCCAGTTTGGGTGGAACTTTCTTTGAAAGGATGATGTTAAATGGGGACACTGGTTTGAACATAACCTTTGGTTGCCATGGTTGCCATTTCAAGTGACTGTGGCGAGGAGTGCAATGGGGGGGTGGGGGGTGCGGACTTAAGGCACTGTGTCTGGTTTCTCGACGCTCGTTTGGGAAGATCGCAAATCAACAAACAGCAGTTGACTTACTGGATGCCTTTCCATGTTTCCGGTTGCTTGACAAGTTGGCAAGAACAAGCTTGGGTGGTAACCAAAGTTTTTTTTGTTTTTAAAGTCCTCGCTTCCGACGTACCAGCACGAGTTTTCGTGGGACAACAAGTTGAAACTTGTTCAATTTGCCCATCCGCTGAGTCGTCTAACTTCTGTTGGTTGATCTACTCCATCCGTTTTTTTGCGGGCTTCGATCCAGGATGTGAGGAACTTGGACGGATCGACTCCGGGCCCTTACCCCGAAGATGCGGAAGAAACCGGCCACCAGGAGCTTTCGAAGGCGTCTGGAAGGAGTGTGGATGGACAAATTCCACGCACCACTTCCTACCAGTTGATATGTGGCTGTGGCTCAAAAAACCGGGAATCCCAAAATGGGTTGCCCTGGTAAGTGGAAACATGAACCAACACATGCGTAACCCCTCCTGTTTAATTTTGAGCCGCACCCATCTGGTGTTGTTTCACTGCTCATAGATTTTCAGCCATTGCAGATGGTGCAGGATTTTGTCCATCCACAGAATGAAGTGGGCTTGCTTCCCGAAAAACCCCGGTGGCTTTCCGAAGCGATCCGCAAAAAGCCCCCCCCAAAATGGGTGCAGGACCCAAAAGCACACAAGCTGCAATGATTTGGATTGAATAGGGGATCACCTCAAAACGGTTGGTGATTGCGATGTAAACGACGTCCACCAAAGGGTCGCTCATTAAGGTTCATGCTCTTTTGAGAGACATACGGCTTTCGATGCGGCGGCTTTTGGGAGACTTGCCCAAATCAGGGTTTCTGAAAGGGAAGCCTGATGCCCAAACCAAGTTCAGCCATTGACTCAACCAACTAGCGCTGGGCTTGTTCTTCGGAAATTGCAGCATACCTGCCTAGGGTAGAGATACACATCTGCTCCTTGGATGCCCTGGGTGAAACGAGCGAATCCGGGTCGCATGAGTGATTCCGAAACGTGGTTTCTCCTTGGTACGACCTTTAGTATTTTTCCCTTTACCTTCGCAACCCAGAAAACAGTGTGACTTGTTGCAAGATTCCATGACCAACCAAGCTTAATCCAGTTGAATTATAGTAAGACATGCTGCAAGGTGGATACCCTACATGTGTGCGTTCTCAAGAAGGGTTGAGCCCCTAGTTGAATGACTTGCCTGCTTGCTGGCTGGCTTGCTTGCTCGCTCGCTTGCTCGCTTGCTCCCTTGCTGGCTCGCTCGCTCGCTTTGCTTGCTTGCTTGCTTACCTACTTGGCGTTAGGCATGCTCATGAATCCTCGAGTTTGCGGATTAGACGACTAGAAGGGTTCTTATGGGAACTGTTGGCCAATTCACACACAGCTGACCATGGCACACCCCGCAAGCATGGTTCCTTTATGTTGCTGGGTCCATTTAAATGACCCTGTAAATGGCTATTTAAAGGGGTTCCCATACCCTTCAGAACCCCTGAGAATGCCATCCCTTTAAGGGGCTGAGCTTTGAGAACGCCCGACTTGCAGGACATCAATGGGTCTGGCAAAGGCGAGGCTGCCATGCTTTGCATTTGTGGCTTGAGCTTTCAGATCATCGTGTCGGGGTTGGGCAAATTGATTTAAACCACCTTCAAAGGGAAGGATATTCTTGAAACAAGATTGGTTTGAAGATGTTTAACCATGGGTTTGGCCCAACCCCGATATGCTTTGAGGCAAGAGGAAAGGCGGAGACAAAGGAGGAGGCAAAGGGGGCAAAGACAAGGGAGGCGGTGGAAAGGGCAAAGGCGGCGGAGGCTCGGCAATTGGCTGGACTGCGTTGCTGACCTTCAGTGATACTTTTTTTGGGGCAGTGAACTCCCAAAAGGGGGCGTTTTGGTTTGGCAGCACTGGAGGTCGGGGTGTGGGTGCAGGGCATCTTAAATTGGAATCAGACCACTAAGTGTCCCCTGAAAGACCATCGAGAGGAGGGCCCCGCGTTCGGGGAAGCACCCCCAGAGTTGCTCACCCCAGACCAGTGGGGAGAACGTTTGCCAAAATCAAACATGCTTTGGGTTTAGGCACCCCGTTTTGTGGGCCACCCTGCCACATGCGTTTCCCAAACTGGGGAGCCCCAGAAGTGATTCGTCGAGCCGTGCAAGCCTGAGGATGGCCACATGTCACGGGAGGCTAAAAGCAGGTGAACCAGGTCTGGGCCCAACCCCGTGTTTGTGGCTGAACTTCCATTTGCCGAATATCTCTCATGATAGGTGGTGGTGTTTTTTACAGCCCGATATCTTATTCTGGATCAGCTTATGCAGCCCAGCTGCGAAAGACGAAAGACTTGTTGGGACTTATAGTGAGTCCCCGAAATGACCGTTCGAGTCGCCTTATCAAGTCCCTGGACCAGACGCTAATCAGGACATATGGCACGGGCTGATTCGACACTAGTGCACTCATTTGGAAGGTGCGGGTTCTGGCCCCGCTTTGGTTTGTTTTTAGACGTGTGTGTGAAGAACAGAAAGTCAACGTGAGTCCCTGCTCAGATGAGCCACCATCAAAACCAGATCCCTGGATAAGCCTATAGCCAAGCTAATGGGCCTCATTTACGGGTTTTCACAAGTGATAGTGCCCGCCTCTCCACAGCCACTCTTGGAGGTGCATGACGCTTGCAATTTGCGTTAGTTGAGATCAGGCCCGAAGTCGTACAGGTTTTAGGGGGGTCTTCGCGGTCGTTGTTTCTGCCTTTTTGGAAAATTCATTTTTTGCATTTTCAAGAATAGGGTGCCCCCCCCAAAAAAAAGCAAAACAAAACAAACACATGTGAGGGGGCGGAGGTCCTTTTGGAGTTTGTTTAACACCATCCAGCAAGGGTGCTTTTTGTTGAGTACTTTCATCTTTTGACGGGGTCTCAACATGTTGACACGTACCCGTATTTTCCCTGTTCAGCAACTGAAAAAACTTACTGCTGGTCCATTGTTCATGTGTGGAGGGCAGGGGCCACCCAAGTTTCCCATGTTCTCTGGAGGAGAACATGTTTTGTCTGGGGCCCAGTCGCTCAGTGGCACCTGATCCCTACTTTCTCCTTTGCAAGTTGCCTTTTGCCCGTTACTTTATCAACTCAACATTAATCTCTTCTTCAACACCACTTAGTCCCCCAACAACAATTGCAAAACCTGACAATGCACCAGGAAAGAGTGCACACCATCCATCAACATGGCACCTCACAGGGGAGGTCCTTTCAAGCTGATCTTCCAGGTATTCAAGGGTAGAGCTGGCAGGTGGCAAAGGCAAAGGCGGCAAAGACAAGGGCGGAGGACTGCAGACAGCCGAAAGCCGAAAGCCGAACATCCGATCGCGGAAGCCAATGTCGAAGGGGGTCTTGGCTGAGCTTAACTCCCCTGACCTGGATAGGAACACAGGGTTCTGGGAAATCAGGTTCTCACTTCTGGAGTTCCTGGACTTCATGTTTGGGGTACACCGTTTTGGTGGCAAAGAAACAGTTTGGACTGTCTTTGCAAATCCACTTAATTAGGAAGTCAGTTTCTGTTCTATGTGGTGTCATGTGCGTTTCGTGTTTTCTCGTGGTTGGGTGGCTTCAAACAGAAACTTGGGGCACAGTTTGGTCCAGGGTCCAAGGCCTTTGGCTTCGCAGCTTCGCCACCCGTGGCGAATGTCTTCGCACCTAGAGGACCATAAGCGGAGTTTGCTTAGAAAGGTCATTTCCTAACTAAAATGGGGCTTGCCACACATTGAATAGACGTCCCCTGTTGCTTACCCAAATAAAGTAAGTGGTACCATCCACATTCGCCCTCCATACCTATCCCAGACTTTTCCGAAGCGAGCCAAGCCCCTTTCCGCTGGGAGTCTTTTATGCGAGCGCATGTGGCGTCAGATCTCCAGGCGGAAAGGGGAAGAAAGGAGGTGGCGGAGGTGGCAAGGGCAAAGACTGCGGGGAGCTTACTGCAACCCTAGCATTCATGGACCTAGGGGGGCATTCTGGGGCCTGTACTTGGAGTTGATTCGGATAAGCCAAGGATTTAAGGCCGAAAGGGTTTCACCCCATCCCCACAGCCTCAAGTCCCATTCAACGGAGGATTCATCAAGGGGGTTCCGATGTCACCTACCACAGGCCCAAGATAGCCCAAGTGAGACCCGTTTTTGGATCCACCGTTTGTGGCCACCAACCATGTATTTGTGTGTTCAAAAAACCGAAGACACCAGGTTTTGTATAATGCTTCGATGATTGCAGACCTCAAATGAACACTCGGTACAGTCGGGTGGAGTTACTCATGTTGGCTGAGAGGTGCATCACCATTTGTGCACTCAGGGAAAGGCGCGTGAGAGTCTTCCTTTGAACTGCTGCCAGCTCGTGCCAGATTTATTGAGCCAGACGCCCTTGCAACAGGCTTTTGAGGTTTGGATGAGAGGGCCGGCAGCACTGGGATCGCGAAGTAGCTCTGTTTGCACATTGCGCGAATGCCCAGAAGGCTTCAGCCCGTGCAGTGTGAATGATATGTGCGCCATGCTAGTTCCAAAAAGATGGGTGCGCCGGGAGCCCGATGCACTGGTTTGGCAGTGTGTCAAAAGGCTGAAACTTTGATACAGGTCTGGTTGAACATGGCAGTGGATTCGGTTCCGTGCTTCTGTTATTCCCTGCATTTTGTGCAAAAGGACACCTACTAGAGGCCCTGCGGATGAACCTGCGGTCATTTGCGGTTGATTTGTTGCAAATCTCCGCAGGCAGGCGGTCAACCCCCTTAAAGCTTTGTTTAGGGGGTAGTCGGGTTCCTGTGCCCCCGCATACGGCCATACATGGAATTATACCAGAAGGTGTGTACATCCTGTTTGGTGGGTGGTCTCCAGGTCTCCAGGTCTCCGCTGCTGGCTCCGAATGGGAAAGGCAGGCCATTCCGGCAACGGCAGCGAATCCACGGACGCCATCAGCACGAGAAGCGCTTTGTTAGGAGCAGCACGATGCCGGGGAGCCAGTCGGAATGTGCCCGGATTGCCATGAGGCCGGCGAGTTGCTGTTGCTTTTGTTAAGACACGGAAGAAGGGTTAGACTTCCGCTTCGGACGCGTGGGTTTTGGAGCTCAGAAGCTTTTCTGCACCCCAAGTAATTAAAAAGGCACTTCCCCTATTCAGGCCCCTTTCAAGGTGCTTTTGGCTCGTTCTGGGCTGCAAAAAACAGTCCAACCTGGAGCTCCAAAAGCTGAGATCGCTCGCAAGGCACAAGACTGGCAGCGTGGGCAACTTGCCAGAGCCCTGGACGGCCGATGTCAATTTGTAGAGCCTCTGGCTCATTCCGCCGACTGCTGCTGCGGTGCCTGAATGAGTGGTGACATGTCCTCTGTTTTATCATTGATTGATTTTCGATTTTGATGACTGGTATATGTTTGATTTGGTTTGATATGTTTTGAGGACTCTGGTGGTGGATCTATGTTTGCTTTGGATCTTGCCGAGCCCTTTGAGCCGGGGGTGGGAGTGGGCAGTATGGAGTGGAGTGTGCAGTGTGTTGTGGGAAGGAAAAGTGGCGCTGCTCTAACTTACAACAAAGGGAATGAAGATGGGTCCAACTTTTGAGAGCCCCAAAGGGAATTGCTTTCCTTTTGGTGTCCCTTTCAAACCATGCATGAAGGAGCTCCCCTATGATTTGCAACACACCTAAGCCAATATCAGTTCCCTTTGTACTGCCATGGGGGCTTATCCTAGGCATCCAGGGGTGGACCCCAAACCTTGGGGAAGAACCTGGTAGCTGAGGTTGGGCCAAAGGCCTCCGCAGCATTCCCGCGACTTCAAGCGCCACACCTCAGACTCCACAACCGGGGACACGGGCGTGTGGGGACCGCCAAACCCTTGAAACCATCCAAGGAGACTCGGACAGCTATGTTCTTCTGGCCTTTCCTTAAACAAGCCCCAAGAAGCCTACCTGAAAACATAGATACCCAGTTGCTCGGGTTCACCCATGGCCTCACTAGGTGCTAAGTAATCCATTCACATTATCTATGTTTAAGAGGAAGGAAACCCGTTCCCAGTTGTTCAGTGGATTCCACGCTTTTTCACTTCTTTGTTGCGTTCTTTAAGCACGGTGATCCCCAAAAACGGCCCAATTCTGCCCCTGCCAGGGTCACTGGGATTTGTTTGAGGCATGGAAGGGTGAAAGTAAAGGGGAGGGGGCAATCTCCCCATGATGTCGGTCTTCCTTCGGAATCTCTTAATCAAAGCCGAAGGCTTTCGGGGCGTGCATTTTCTGGGCATGGTGCGCTGGGTGTCCAACACCCTATGATTGTCCAGCGGTTTTGGGGCTTGCGTGTTGCAAATCTGCGGTTCCGCTAGGTCTCTAGGGCCTAGTGATGTTTTGCTGTTCAAGCGATGTTGGAATTGGCCTGTCAGGGGTTTGGGTGGGGGCAAGTGCAGTGATACTTTAAGGGTGAACAATGCCATCTGCACGCTCGACTGGCCTCGGCGGATTTGTAGGGGCATTTTGGGGAACTGCTTTGCCCATGGGACTGCCGGATCTACAAGGAAACCGATCCTTTTCATTTGGGTTTGTGTTCTAGGGGGAAACAGAAGGTTTTCACTTTTCCCTTTGGAATCCATTACAAGCCAAGCCAGAACGGCTTCTCCACGAAAACGTGATACACCCACCTTCCACCTTTACAAGGTGGAAGCACCAGGGTGTTCATTTTAATATATATATATATGTTAATATATATATATATACACATATTTGTAGAAATATATATATATATATATATATATGCACGCAGCCTGTGCAAGTGGTCTGGCTTTTCAAGTGGCCCATCCGTTGCTTTCACGAGAACATTTTTTTGAGAGCCCTGCATGGCCGAAAGCTGAGGCGGGACAACGTAAAGATGGTGCGCACCATGAGCCGCGACGTGCTCACGCGGCGCCGGGAGCGTCTCGCAAGAGAAGGGACCGCCGAAGCTCCATCCTGTTTTATGGGAGTTGCACGTCCGCCTGAGCAATTCGTCATTTCAATGACCCCAAATTGAAACTGAAAGGGGCACATGGTCCACAGTCCACAGGATTCTACCAAACAAACTAGGGAGGTTCATTCTTTGGTGCTTTTTGCCAAGGGATGTCAGGACTTTAGCTGTTTGCCAACTTAGAGGGGTTTTCCGAATTAAACCCACTAAAAGTTAAGCACTTTTAGCAGGACTTCGCAGAAAGCGTCCGAGCAAATCTGCCGCCAGTTGGAAACCATGGTTGCAACCATTGTTGGTTGGGATTGACAGGGGAAGCGGCATTTCAGGGTTTCTTATGGTGCAGATTTTTCGTCCATCCACAGTATGGGTGTGTTAGTCGTTGGGGGCCTTATGTTGAAGCCCCCGCCCCCCCCCCCGATTGCTTCCGAGTCCTAAGCGTGCCGGGAGCTGCACCTGAGGTAGGAAGCTTCGGTCAGGTACTGCACCATTGTTCCCTTCCAAAGCACGCACATGCATTGCAGCGGTGCCGGTCCAGCGTGCGGATTTTGCACCTGAAGGCCGATGTCGCTCCCAACAATTCTCAGAATCCCCTTCCAGAAAGAATGTTTGTTGGCGGTAGGGCGGTAGGCAATGAATTCATTTCTTCGGTCTCAGAAGAAGCCTGTAGCACGTTCCATCGAGCTGGGTGATGAAAGTCCCGGTCAGCCGAGGTCAGAGAAGTCTGCAGACCCTGACTTCAAGCTCCGGCAGTTTGCGACGCAGCCTCAGAGCTTAGTGGAAACCCAGACATCGATGACATCGCCAAGGGTTCCAATACTGGCAAACGGATACCCTTGCTGCTTCCATGGCATGACCCACCGCATGATTGGACTCAGGCACGAGGATGGGCTTTTGAGGAAAGCCCCGCCCCCTTAAACAAGTTCCAGGTGTATTAGTCCAGGGTCAATACCTCAAGCTGTTTTCACCACGCAGCGCCGACACTGCTTCAGTCCGTGCAGAAGCCCAACAGTCGCTTTTGTAAAGGGGGATTAGAGGAGTGTGAGCACAGACTTTCTTGCAGTCGCATGTGCAGCAACTCTAAGCTGATTTCCAAACCACTACCCTAAGGAAGAATTAGGTACACAACCCTATTCAGCCATCATATTAGGGCTCATTCCCCTTCCTGCAAAGCTTTTGGGATTGTGGATACCATTTGAGAGCAACCGAGTGTCACGGCATCTGCTTTAGAATGATACTGCCATGCACTAGACCCAACAGATGCTGTTAGGGGGCTCTTCGGTTTGACCTTTCACGTGTGAGTCGTCTCAAAGCAGCACAACACGCCTTTGTGTTTTGACTTGGGTGCTTCCCAGATGAGAGGAACCAGCCAGTGTATCTATTTGCGGGGAATAAGTTTGACCCCAGGTATCGCCGCGCCTGTCGACGCACCCGTGCTGTGTTCGCACCCAGGAACGTCGCCTCCAGATTGCATCAAGCTCCTCAGAGGCGGGAGCGGGCAGACGACATGCGAGGCACTCACAGGATACTAGTAGCAGTCTACTGTTGGTTTGGGGGAAACCCGAGCTTGTGACGAAAACCAAGGGGACCAACGCAATCCGCCCAAGTCTTCTTAAAACTGATCCCTGATTTTCCTCCTCAATCTAAGCTGATTTGTTCAAACATCCGTATGACCTGTTCCCTGAGTTTCCGGATTGGATAATTACTCGGTCGGACAATTTTAGTGGCATACAAACCGCTTGAACTTTGCTGGCCAGTTCACTCAGGATGCGAGACTATGCAACATATGCGGACATCCAACATGAGGTTTGGGGGATCCGAAATTTACTCTGCTTGGGAGCCTTCAGCCACTGGACGGTCCAAGGCTCCAGGCCACAGCCTTGGCCCCAGCCGGAGGGTGAGATGGGGCCATGACTTGGCTGGAAACTAAAGGGACACCACCCCATTTCGTGCTACTTGGAGAAGGTAGATTTTTATGGACATGAATCTCCCCTAAAGGATGTCTGCATATGGCTTACTACTTGAAAGTAGAATCCATATTACAAGACCAAGCTTCAGACTTGTACGGACGGCCATGGACCCCTTGGTGAGAATTTCTGAGAAGCACTGTATTGACTACTAAAAGGTTGGCTTCCCTTAATTATTCTTTTATTCGCCGTCCAGGGGTCCAAACCGCTCCTTGCATTCAGCCCTACGTCCTGGGTGCAACTCCGGAACATCGGATGGCTCCGCGCGCGTGGGCGCTTTCTGAGGCGTCGACGCCTGCGAAGCAGAGGTCTCTCAGCATCGCCGCGCCGGCGGGGTTTGGAACGTGGCACCCTTTGCTGCCCCCCTTTTTGTTGGATGGGTTTCCCTGTGTGGATGGTTGTGAATCTGTAAACCGCACCACTTGCAAAATTCATGGTTGCAACCATTGTTGGTTGGTATCTACAGGGGAATCATCAATGGTTACAAGAAAAGGCTTGACTTCAGAGTGACACAAGCTGAAACTTGGACTCAGCACCTGCCAGTTGGTCGTCCACGCATTCCATGGGTTTCTTAGGTGGTGCAGGATTTCGTCCATCCACACTAGGATTCTACCTCACTCTGAAGCGAGAGCGCACAAAACACAAAAACAGCTGGGATCCACTGGGGAAGGTTCAGGTGATTGGTGCAGGTTTCGCGATCGACCGTCCAAGTTGGAAGATCTAAGGCGTGTCTCAAAATTCGGGTGCCATGAAATAGTCCAAAATTGTGATTTCCCATTCGACCGGTTTTCCTTTTGGCTTCCCTTTAAAGCAAGGCAAAAAACATGATACCACTTCCCATAAACTCTCCCTTGCCTTGTTTCCAACCAAAATTTCTCAGCCGCTCACTTGTTGAGCTTTCCTCATTCGGATTTGCGCCTTTTAACTTGGGTGCCCTTTTCAGGTTGCTTTGAAGGGACGCCAAAAGGACGCCAACAGCGCAATTTGTTCGGGGCTCCAAATCCTATTTGACACAGACCCCCCCCCCCCCCCCGAGCCCCGTCTTTTCGCTTTGGGTCGCAGTGCCAGGGCTTCAGCCCTGCCAAGACCAGCCCGGGCCAGAGCCCTTGGGCCCGGCAGCCCAAAGGCGCAAGAGGGTCGGTGGACTTTTCACCGGCCGAAGCGAAGCGAATGGGCGGTCTGACGTGTTGTTTTGGGTTTCCCCTTTTGGTCCAGGTTTAGTCAAGGTCCCACAAAGTGAACTTAAGAAAAGCCAGGTCCTGGGAAAGGTTCGGAAGGAGCTTTCTGGGTTCTTAGAAGGGCTCTGAAAGCTGGGCAGTGCTTAGCTCAAAAGGAAAGAATGGGAATTTCAATCCAATTGCATGTTCGAACAGGTGGCACAACAGACATAGGTGGGGTCCGGATCAATAAGCCTGGTGGATTATTACGGGGCTGTTCACTCCATCAGCGAAGGATTCCCACAAAAAAGGGGAACACCTCCGTCCAGTCCAGGTCTATTGATCCAGGGTTCCCATTAATGCTAAGATCGGATTAGTCAGGAGTCCACAACTAAAAGGACCCCCCCCGTCTGTTCGATCATTTGCTTACCAGGGGAAGCCCTAATTGGTAGGGCTTCGACATTGATCTTCAGAAACCTGGGCTCCAACGGAAGCCGCTCGCTGGCGGTTGCTAGGCCCGGGGACCACTGCGCAGCTGCAACCAGCCGGTGACCAAGCCCCGACTTGATCGAGCTGAAGCAGGCGTGTTGAGCGCCTGGACGCGTTGCGCACGTTGCTGGGGGCATTGATTTCGCCTGTTTCTGCATTCTGAGCCTCGGGTATTGTTCATGTCCACCAAGGCCAGGGGATCGTGAGTAACCCCTCCTGGAATTGTTCTAAGTAGGTAATTTGGTGAGTGTGTCTCATCTCCCCCATTTTCTACCTTTTCTACAGTTCGACCAACCCCAAAAGGCAGACAGTCAAAGCACCGCCCCTGGCGCAAGAACAGTGTGCTCGGAAACCATGCCGCTTGGCTGCGTACCCACTTGAGTTGCTACTTTACGAGGAGCCCAAGAAAACGAGCAATATCGTCTAGAGCCATCCGGGTAAATTTTCCACAAGCCGTTGGCAGGAAATTCTACAGGAGAATCGGTTGGCTTCCTGCAGACGTGTGGTCAGGCAAGCGCGAGAGCCTCAAGGGCAAAGAGAACCGGCCTGGAGCGAGGCGAAGCGGCGAAGCGGCGAAGCGCGGGTTGCGGCGGGTTTGGAGCGGACCTAGGAAAACAAGGCTTTATTGTGGGCGGACGAAATCCAAGCCAGGCACCACTTGGGATTGCTGGTTTATCAGCCAGTATTCATAGGGTACGAAGTGAATGTTGTCCTTTCGGGCTTGTCGAAAAATGGCTGCACAAGGACCCCCCTTCGTTCCAATGATATCATGGGTATAGCTACGGGCACCGGGCGGGCCCTATTCAAATGAACAATTAACTAAGTCCAAGTTCCGATACTGTCGGCTATGGTGTTTCTTAAAGAACCCCTAAGCACGGTTGGCTTCCGCTTGGTTTCAAACCCTGGACTGCCACGATTCGCCAGGCTGCTCTTCTCACCGCCTCCGCGAACGGAGGCAGGCCCCAGATGCTTTTGCGGTGTCCGAACTGCCATGGTTCAACCTGGTGATGGCGCCTTTGGAGCACCCTGTGTAGGGATGCTTGTTGGACCTTGGGGCTTTGGATCATGATGAAACCACCGCTACGGACGAACCCTTCCGGAAGATGTGGCGCGAGATTGGCTCGATATGTCACTTTGGTTTGCTTTGGAGGCAACTAAGTTGAAAGCAAAGCTACGAAAGTTTAAAAGCTCCTTTTCTTGCAAGTTGTTGCTATCTCCCTTTTCTCTGGTTGGAGCAAGGAGGCACACATTCAAGGTCCGAAATAATTTCAGTTCGGTGTGACGCAGAGCCCATCTTCAGAGCACGTGATTCCACTTCGCTGGGCGTCGGAATCACTCGTGCTGGGCCAGGAGTCAAGAAGTCAGCGGCGCAATGCCTACGGTCGATTGGACCGTAGCTGTTCAGTTGGTTCCGCCCTTTAAACCACTTCTTGTTTCGGTGGGCTACCAGGCCCTTGAACCCCACTTAAGGGCAACGCACAAACAGTGTGTACCTGAGGGAGCGAATTGAGGGGCACCTCAGCTTACTACGCCCTAAATAAGGATATGCTTGCTTGTGGGGCCCGGCTTTGGCTTTCTGCGCCGCAAATCATTGATTGACTTTCGATCCCAGTCCAGTTGCGCCCGTTTGCCTGTTTTGGGGATGGTGGTCCCTTACAAATCGACCAACCAGAAGGGGTTCTTTAAGCACCGCCGCGCTTTTCCGGTGAGGCGAGCAGCGAGCAACTCAGCGTCTCGAGGCTTCGGGGCCCGAGTGCGTTTCGCGACAAGCTCCTCCCTGACGTCCCCAGAACCAGCTTCCCTTTTTTCTCAGTTTTCGCTTTTGTGGGTCCCCTTTGTTTTCAAACAACCAGGCAAACAAATGTAAAGTTTTGTGCTGGGGTCGTACTTTCAGCCAAGCTGAGTTCCTGGACTTTACGCCAGGGTGAAAGTAGATGGCACTGTTTTATGGTAAAGAGGATAATAGAACCCAATTGGGAGCTTGTGACATCTACTTTCAGCCAGCTGTATGCCCTGAGTGGCACAGTATGTTTCTTGGGAACACCATTGTGGCAAACAACAAGTTTGGACTCTTGGCCAATCCGCTCGATGGGGCGTGAGACTTGTTACGTTAAAAGACGGGCGCAAGGGTTTCTGCAAGACATTGGGCCATGAGGTCTTAGATAGCGATGTCATTGAAACATTCGGAAAGTTAGGCCCAGGATACCTCCAGAAACCCAGGGGTTCGCCAGGCTTCCTGTAGAGTTGTTTAACTGGTCTCTTGGAGTCACTTTTCTGGGGACTTTAAGAACCACTCAGGAACCCGAAAGCGCTAAATATGCAAAGCCTCTTTGAGCTCATGTGGATGGGAATATTCCCAAGAAATCCTCAGCCCAAGAGCTTCCATGAAGAGTCTCTTCACATGCTCGAGACTTTAGGAATTGGTGCTCTGCATCTTGGACATGCCATGCGGAGCATGGAGGTCCCCAATTGTTTGTACCGAAGATGTTCTCTCTTTGTGCCCTGTATCCACAATGTACCCATGACATCCATTGTATATCTGGACTTTGTCGTTTTTGCGGGGGCACCTAATAACGTACGTGGCATGCCATCGGATATCCCCTGAGGGGAAAAACAGCTGAGCAGCGGTTCTTATTGTCGTGGAAAGGCTTATACCAAAAGGGAACAGCATGCAGTTTCTGGAGGCAATCCTAGTTGGGGGCGTAGGCTCGCGTAGGCTCTTTGCGTAGGCTATTGTTTCACCCCTCGCCAAGTCTTCTCGAGCTGGCATTTAGTGAACAACACGTGGTTCAATGCGGTTTCCCGGTGAAATCGTTTTCCGCTTTCCTCCTTCCTTTGTTTATTTCCACATTCTTCGCGTGAGCCCTGCGTAGGCATTCCTCGGGTCAAAGAGAACTGTTCCAGTGGTTGCTCCTGTTTGACTTGTCCAAAGCCACAACATTTATGTTGTCGGTGGCACATGCTTGCCTGTCGCCTACTAAGAATGGTGAACTAACCAAGAAGGCTTCCCTTTTTTACCGCGAACCATGGTCAACCCAACATCATTGAACCAAGCAGGATTCCATTATTGTTGTATAACAGTGGCACTGAGAAACTGGTTTGGGCACCCACCTAAACTGTTGGGTGTCCCTTTGGGCTTCATGTACAGCCACCCCAAAAAGGGTCCCTTTTTGCCAGGATCACGGATCAGCATGCGGGTTTCGAGGTGTGAAGATGGCGACAGCGACTGCAGCGCACCAGGCTCGCCCCCCTCGATTTGCGGGCGCGAATTGGCGTGTTTGGTGAGGAGGTCCTTTTGGCCTTTTGGTGGTTGGGGAGCCTGTTTTTCAATTGAATTCTGCGTCTTTGCTGGCCTTGTTGGCTTTGCCCTGTTGGGGGGGCTCCTTTTCCAGCAGACTTGTTGTGTGTTTTGTTGTTTTCGCATGTGTGTGACTTTTTGTCTTTGTGTTGCATGTTTTGGCTTTGTTTGGCGAGGGGATCATTTGTTGTATGCCCTGTGAGTGTCTTTGTCGGATTTGCGTTTGAGGAATCTTGTTTGTATCCCCTTTGTGTCTTTCTCGGATTTGTTTTGTTTATTGTTTGTGTTGTGGGAAGTATGTTTGTTATTGTTCCTTGGTGTTGTTTTTGCCTGTTTGACTGGTGTTGATTGGAAGTTGTGCAGCTTGGTTTTGTCTTCTTTTGAGGGTATCCTTCTTCGTGGCATTGTCTTTTCGCGTTTCTTTGTGTGTGTGTGTGTGTGGGTGGTTGCCTTGCTTTGCCGTTTCAACACACTTGGAAGGCCTCGTTTTTCCAGGGCTTTTTGGTGAGGAAGGCAAAGGTTGAGCGCAGGAAAGCTTTGGGCGGAGCCTTCTGATCCAGGTTGGGGTTTTGAGAGCCTTTCTGGTGCCGGGCCCCCCGATTCTCCTTGATCAAAGGGCAGTTCCACATTTCAGGCACTTCTTGATGTGGGTGTGGGTCAAAATTAATCCACCAGGGGATCGCAGGTTTTAGTCCATGTGTCACTTTACTAAGGTTCCATTTTGGGTGCCTATGTTTGACCCACAGCCATGTGGGTTACACAAACATGGCAATGTGTCAAAGTCGTTTTCCTACAAGCAAGCCTTACAAAGCACAAGCAGGCTGGTGGCCTGCGTCTGACCGACTCGCCTCTGAGTTCTTCCAAAGCGGGCGCCTGCGGTGATTGGATTGACCATTCTGGCGGCGCGAGGGTTGTCTCCAAAACGGGGGAACCCCAAATGGGTGTCTTCCTGCCGGTCTGCCTTTCAAGCAATCCCAACAAATAGGTACCCTCAAAAACACACAGAGAGTGAATCTTGTGAATCGCCACTGGCACCTTTGTACTGATGAGCTCGTGGTGTGTTTTGTCATTTTCTATGCCAGCCCTCTTCAACCACAAGGAGGGAGTCCATTTCCGCTTTGTTGACGGCAGCCAGTGGTTGTGCGTGGATTGGCCCAATTCGGTGCATCGGAGTTTCTGCTCCTGAGGGAAGGTGAAGCATGCACAGCATGCATCCAGCCTGTTGCGCAAAAGTGCCCGCTTTGCCGGGGGACAAGCATGTTTGTTTGCTCCTTTTGGGCAATTTGAACATGAGTTCCCTCTGAGCGGGGATGGCGAGGGTCACCCAGAAAGGACATTCTTGTTTGCCTGTTTCCAGCGAACAAGAGCAAGAAAGCACCAGCAAGCCTTTCGCGCCAAGATGTGCAGCGCCTCAAGCTCGATGCTGTTGGCCGTTTCATGGGAGGGGGGCTTCCGCTTTGAGAAGTTAAGGTATATGTACAACAGTTGATTGAGGGCTTCCACTACTCGGTGAAATCGGGGTTTGAGTAAGGTTTCATTTCCAACTTATATCTATACTAGAAAGAAAAACAAAAAACAAGAGTCACATGATTTTGGCACTGCTCAAATGTGCGACTGGTCAGTAAGCCCATTTCGGCTTACTGCGGCCGGGTGTGCCCCTAATGAAGTCCGCTACTCAGGGCGCTTAATCAGTGGACGGGCAGGAGCAGTGTTCACAGGAGAAAAGAAGTGGGAGAGCGAGAGAGACACAGATAGAGATAGAGAGAGAGAGATGTGTCTTTTAGTGGAGTTGGTAGCCCTTTGAGGGGCGGTTTTCAGGGGCAACCACTGGACGTTTCGAGGCAACCAACATGTCAATGTGATTGACGTCATTGCCAGCTCATTTTGGGCGAGTGAGACACCACTAGTTGTATTAGGGCAAACGAAAAGTGAGGCTTAAGAATCTGTTTGTCAATAGCGAGTTATGTGGCTTAAAACGAGCTCGCGACGGACTCCAACTCTTGTGTCAAGTTTCCGACCTCAGCCTTACTTGGCAGTTTGGCCGGGCCAGCAATTGCGTTGCTTAGGGGATCCATTCTAGGTACCCCTAGTTGGCGGTTGGGGGATTTGAACCCTGCTTCCTGTTGCTGGTAAACGGGAAGCTCGCCTACCCTCCAAACCACGAATCCAATCAGCGGGAAGCGGGGCGTGAATCCTTTTCCATTCGCTTCAGCCCCCGTTTCTTTCCCAACGCCCGGCGGGTGGTCGCGCGGTTCCAGGGTTCGGATCCACGGCTTGGTCCGAAACCTCGGGCTGTTTGGAACCGGAAGGACACCCCTCAGACCTGGCGTGTCTTTACCTTTGAAAAAATCGGGTTGCCCCAGGACCTTCATGCAGTAAGGGGTTGAGAACCACCAGTGTGAGATCAGACCACCCAACAAACTCCGCGTTGTTTGAAGAATTCGTCTGCAAGTCGCTTGTTCAACAGTATCACAGAAGGCAAGTCCCTCTGGCACCTTTTGGTTCACTTAAAACGGGGGGCCAAGCAATGTGGGAAAGCCAAAACAGGGGCAAACATCAAACATGCGGAAAGACCCTTTCGATCCGGGGAAAGGGAGGTCAAGCATGCAGAAAAATCCAGGTGTCCTGAAAAGGCACATTGTGTTTTGAAAGACTCCATGGTTCCCTGATTCAAGAGGGGCGAGGTCAAGCATGCAGAATGGCCTTTGCGTTCCCCAAATTAGCGGTCTTGGACATGTTGCATCTATTTGCTTAAGAATAGTTGTGATTTCCCCCTGTTTGCTTTTTGCCCCAAGTAGTGCCCTTTTACCCTTTTTGGGGGGGAGGGTACCCCTACTAAAATAGACTACAGAAAAATGGTACCCTTATTCTAACCTCTCTACTGGATAAACCTAGGTTGTCAATAGTTGCAGTCCCTGGCCAGCTGCTCTCCGAGGTTTCGTGACGTTTTCCTCCTGTACGGAAGCTGGTCTGCGGCAGGCCGGCACAGTGGGCGGAATGAAGCGCGCTAGGGGCTTCCGTGCTCAAGGTAAACCGGGCCATATGGGGGTTCCCCTTGTTTGGGAGGACTTGGCAAAAAGACCCTGAGCCTAAAGCTAATCGACCTTGCAGCCTTTGGACGTTTCAAGTTTTGCCCATGCTTTAGAAAAAAGTCAGGCTCCCACAGGTAAGTTATAGCTTCCAGGTTCTTTGCACGATTGAGGTTGGAATGCATTTTGGGTGGCAGTGGACGAGCAAATGAGCAGGGGTTGGGCACCTATAATTTCAGCGAGCAAACCACGGGTGGTTTCCAAGGACCAGCCAGTTCCGTCCGACACATGTTGCATTGGTGACCGTTCACAGAACCACAGAAGCTTCACACGAAATGCCTGGATTCCTGCCTAGGTTGGCAAGCCAAGGACCTCATTCGGCACCCCCGGTGTTTCCGCGTTTGGTCAGGGGTGGGCTTCCCAAGCAAAGTCAAGCAGCCAAGAAAGGGGCTTGTCCTGTTTTTGTCCCTGGCCGCTGGAGGTCTGGTCGGACGTACATATGGGTATGGGTCAAAATTCAACCAGCAGGAGACCGCAGGTTTTGGTGCCTGGTTCCATTTACCAGGGGTCCATTTCGAGTACCTATTTTTGACCCACAGCCATATAGAATCTTATTTTGCCAGGCCAATGCAGCGTGAGCGTGCCTCACGAGTCGAGCCTGTCCAGGTTTGAACCTGGGCGTATCGCCTCCCGCGAACGACACCAATGTCACCGCCAATGCCAGCGGCCACACCGGCGCAGCCGGCGGAAACGTCACCAACGTCTCACGAAAGGAGTGCTGGCCTTAGCCGTGTGTGTGTGTGTGCTCACTTCTGGCAACCCAGGTGAAGGATCTGCAAACCCCTGGTTGATGAAAAGGATTAAAAGGGTTGTGTCCCATGTTTGAGGGGAACCTTTTCTTGGGAGAACCCTCTAAGGAGCCATTTTCATGAATCCGAGGTCGGCATTCGACCTAGGGGGCGCTGTGCCAACGGATCTCCTTGAAGAGTGATCCTACCGAATCACCCGCCAAGCACACCACACCCCAAACACACCTCAAGTTTGGGTTTGTGTGTTGTGGCAGGAGGGGGGGGGGGGACGGGAATTGGTGGCGTGGGTGAGATTGAAACATGGTCGATTCAGGGTCACGCCAATAAAAGTGTAAAGTGTAGGTTGTTTCTTTGGGCCGAGCTTTCCCACTGGTATTTTGTCAGGAACCCAAGTTTGCCAGATTTCAGCATGCTGTTTGTCCCATGACCAAACTCAGGAAGTGAGCTGAGCATGTTCACCCCAACGCAGCAAGTTTCGCCATTGAAAAGCCGAGGCTGCCAAGCCCGGATGCCTTCCGAAATTCCGAGGCGCCCGAAGTTTCGGGAGCTGGGTCGACAGGATTGAATCGGCTTGCAGGGCCCAGATGCTTCGGAGTCGCCTTTTGGGAGAAATCCGAAGGTCCTTCGCTCAGGTCGGAAGTTAGTTTATTTTGTGGAGGCAGCAACACGCTGTGCCAACCAAGGGAGGTGTCGTTGATCCCTTCTTGGAGGTTGCCCCCCAAAGCTGGTATCCGCCTGAGGGTGTCCCGAGGGGGGCGTGCGTTGCCATGACGAAAAGGTCCGCGTTTTGGTTGAGGGTATTCTTTTCAGGTCAGTGTAAAGGGAAACCACAAGGACCACTGGGGCGGCCCTATTTGAACACATACTCTTCAAAGGGTAAAGCAAATAGACAACGGAGTTGGCTCTGTCGCCAGGTCTGGGGTCCTCCCACGTGGCTTTCTGGCTGCATCGGATTGATCGATTCCAGACGCGAAGAGGAATCGGACATAGACCCCCGAACCAGACTTGCAACCAAAGCAAATCCAACTGCCGACCTTTGGTTCCCCCTTGGCAGCCATGTTTTGTCAGGAGAGCAGGAGATCAAAGCCTTATGTTCAGGTGCTTTGCCAAGTAAGAAGCTGCCTAGTTGCCAAAAGCCAGCTTTGCGGCTGGAGAAAACTATGAAACCAGAGACTGTTCAGCATCACCATTTGGGCCGACTGAAAGTGGGTTCTTGGTGGGGTGATGTCAGTGTTTCTCAAAATTAGGGACCCATTCAGGTGGTTGGAAGTCCTTTGGATTTCCCTCAACACCATCCAATACCCCTTTGTCGAGAAATACCCATGTGCGGAAACATAGTCAGCTTTTCAGCAGCCAATCCAAAAGGCGTCCGTCGTGGCAGTTGACAAACTGAGGACATTGACCCTGTGTCAAGCCGCCCAGTGCACTGAACTGGGCGGTTTCCGGTTTAGGCTATGACCCAAAGTGCATTGTGGGGGATTTGTAAAGCCTTTGCGGGGAGGAGGACCCGTTCTAAACAGTGGACTGCTGCTGTTTTCTTTTTTGCTCCTTGGCTTGGCCGACTTGTGATTTTCGGAAACCGACGAACCCCAGGCAACAGTTGGTCACGTTTAAACCGGGGGCCTGGTTCGACCAACCGGATATGTTCCAAGGGAAAGCCTGAAGTTTTGCCAGGGACGATTCAGGTGTTTTGCTTCAGAAAAATCGATTGCCCGTTTAACTTGCCCATTTTGGGATTGATCGTTGCGGTTGCTGTTGGTCCAATGTAAAATTCCGCGTGAGTTGTGGCCACTCGGCTTCTCTCGGCTCATCGCTTAGGTTCTTCCTGCACTCGGTGACCCTTGCTCTTCCGGAGAAGGCAGGCCGGTTTGAGACCCGTGGGATACCACCTTGTCTCCAAATGCTGCCCGGGCCAAGAGCCAGCACAAGCAAGAAAAACTCGGCATAATTGCCAAAATAACAAGGCTGTGGGTCAAAACCAATGGTACCATTGGTCAAAACCAATGGTACCATTTTGGGGTAGGTGCACCACCCACTTTAGAACCTATTTTAGCGGGGATTGGGATGTTCACTGGAGGTACGGGACTTTGACCAATGGCCACAAGTCCGGAAACATTGAGCTGCTATTTTGTCACTGGGAAGCACCCGGCTTTCTGGCAGGTGCCGCAAGAGCAGCAGGCGCAGATCAAGAACCTGGTGCTGTCACTTCAGGAGGTGCCAGCGCAAGGGAACTGGGGGCGGGGTTCGACAAATCTCATTTGGCCGGATGGGCATGTTTGTTCTTGTTTTTTCAGGTGGGAGGGGGGGGCGTGTTGAGTGTGCGGGCGTTTTTAGAAAGGGAAACCCCCCCGAAATTGTTGTGGGGGGGGGACTCCCCATGTGGAGGCAGGCAAAAATATGGCTTTGGATCTAAGGAGTCCAGAACCATCATTTATGATCCACGTCATGTTGTGTACAGTTTTGAGTTTTTTTCATTTACTTGCTTTACCAGCTCAAACATGAAGCATTGGACAAACCCTGATTGCCCGACACATGCTTAGGGGACCAACAGCTTGACCCCGCTAGGGGTTGGTGGCGCAAAATGGTGGAGCAAGTTGCCAAGAAGATAGTCTGAACACGTTGCCAGGCTTAGCTCGTTTTTTCCTTCGTTAATCCTTTTAACCTTTGCCTTTTAACTATCGACAAGCTGACTTGTTGCAGGGAGTCCAAGTCTGGCCCAGAAAAGCGGACGGTTGATCAATGGTTCCATGTTTTTGCTTCGCTACGACACTATCGGGTGTCACACACTAGTCCGAAACAAAAAGTCTATTTGGGAAACAAGCCAACATGGAGTATTTATGGCCCCTGGGGAATGAAGCTACGGGAAATTAGGCAGAGACCCATCCAACAAAGGTTTTGGGCAAGTTGCCTGCACATAATCCTGTTGGTTTCTGAGACAAGTAGGATCAGGTAGGGAACGTACCTGGTTAATATCTCATTAGACGTGGGCATGGCTGGGCGTCTGGCGTGACCTTCAAACTCCTTTTCTGATAGTCGCACCAACTTCCCTTCCCTAATTCCCCCTTCCCCTTCATCCAAAGGCCTGGCAGTTGGATCCTACATATGACTTGGGTGGCGGGGTGTTTTCCCATGTTGGCTCAAAAGATCCAATTCCCCAACAAAAAAGTCCAAACGACCCGGATTCTCGGACCGAGGTTCTGCCATGCCCTTTGTGTGCGGAGCACTGGCGAAAGAACATGGATGAGGCCCCCTCGCGGTTCAGCGTTGTGACGCCGGCACACCCTGAATGTAAAATTGGTGTTCCGTTCGGGGTCCGGAGGGCTCCTTGGTCGTCTTGAGATGCAAAAAGCCGCCGGTGGGTGCCGTGGGTGTTGGGTTTTGAATTCCAGAAAGGTCAATACCCTCCATAAAGGACCCTGCCGTGTTTCGACACCGGGCGGTTCCAGCGACGGTAAAAAGCAGCTACCCTGTGATGAAGCCTCAAGTTCTTCATTCAGGTGGGTGATGTGCAATAACTAGGCCAGATGTACGTTTATCATCCCACTTCCGCAACTTAAGCCGGGGTGTCAACAAAGATTGGTAGCTCACTTACCCATCCAGTGAGCAATCCTGAAGCTTTGTGTTGATAGGTGTCTGCATCGTGAAAGTAAAGCCCCACTAAGTGTAAACTCAAACCTTGCCTGGGCAAGCCACTCAGGTCAGACAAACGAGGCAAGGCCACCCTGAATCTCCTCATTGGTCAGTTCTTCCCGCCCTACTACCGCGGCGGTTGCTTTCAGTGTGTTCCATAATTAGCAAGCTTGGCTTATAGTTGTTGCTATGCTCCCCGAGTTGTTGGACTTTGCACTTCGGCAAAGACTTCACCAGTCTATGGTGTTTATATCCAAGGTGGTCGCATATGCATTGCATATTCGAGGGCTGAACCACCTCTCCTGGGAGAGGTTCTCCAGCATAACAAAGGTGCAAAGGGACCCTCAGCCAGGGTTTATAGCTATCTCACTGCTCCAGCGCACACTTGTACACCTTCTTGGGAACATCATTTCAGTGGTTAATGCCCACTTGTCGTTGTTCTGTTTCCCCTGTTGGGAAATGTTACATCGAACGTCATGAATTAAGGGGGCGGTTTCCTTTGGCACGTCAAGCAAAGGAAACCACCGTTTTCCTTTCGCAGTTTTGTTCCAAAAAAATAAAAACCACCCTTTGGGTTCCAAAAGGTTGACCCGTTTCCAGATATTTCGGGCTTGTGACAGAAGCATCTTGCGAAGTGGGGCAGGCCGAGCGTTTGTTGGTAAGGACAGACGCGTATGGTTATCGTCGAATTCGACACTGGACCGAAGCAAGTTTGGTGAACAAGCCAAGCCCATCCCCAAAGAGAGCCCTCATAGATCTCTTAGTTTGACGTTAGTAAGTTGTTTTGCACGACCGACCCCTTAGTCAGACCTCTTCCTCTGATGATTTTTCTGGCTGGACGTTTTGTTGGACAGACAGCGGCCTTATCAGTTGCCTCTATATTGTGTGAGTGTGCATGTGTGTGTGCGCGGGTGTGTGTGTGTGTGATGTTCAAGGGCAATGAAGGCACGTAAATGAACAGGATTTTTTTTGTTGCAAACACACAGACGTGCCATGGTTAAAAGACCTACTTGCTTCGACGGTCTTGGCTCAGGGAACCATGAACATCGTGTATTTGACACAAATGGATGTGTAGTCTGTGGTCAATGTCGTAAGGACACGGAGACAAGCGTCTACATGTTAACTACAAGAATCAGGGGAATCTCAAATTAGCCCATGTCCAGTAGGCCAATCTACAGTTGGTTTCCGAAGGACATGGGGGACGGAAAGGCACATTGCTTCCAATCGTTCCATGTTTTTTGGGGAACAAGGAATGAATGTCCGGGGCTCATATGCGTTGTACCGAATTCGGTGAATCCTGAAAATGGCTGTTGTTCATTCGGTGTCCCTTTGCAGTAAGCCAACCTTCAAAACAAACCCCTAAAACAACCACACACAGTTGAGAGCCAGGCTTTTTTAGGGCAACCGCAAAGGAGAACCACTTTTGGCATTTGGGCCCCATACCCATACCCATCCCATACCCATACCCATAATGTTGACCATTGTTGACCCATACTTTTCCACCCCACATGGCCCCACTTGTGCCCAGCCACCCCACCCACTCGGGGATCCCATTCCGCCGCGGCCAGGATCCGATCGAGCCACATCTTGGCAGCCGCGAAGCTTTGGTGGACTGGCTGATCGGCATGCATAACAAGGCCCGGGGTACTTTCTTGTGTGTTCGCTGTTGTAAAAACTTTGTTGTTCAAGGTTTGGTGCTGAAGTCTTGTTGTGAAGGTTTGTTTTGTGCGATTCAGTGAGAAGGTGTTGTAAGGATGTGTGCTGTGCTGCTGTTTGAAACACATTTGATGTCAAAGGCTTTCTGTTTTTGCAGGTGTGTGTGTGTGTGCGTGTGCGCGTATTTCTTTCGCACTTGTCGGATCGCTTGTTTGTTGCGTGTTGCTCTCATGCTGCTGCTTTACTTTTATATTGGTGTGTCCGAGTGTCCTGTTGTTCTTTCAAAACCTCCCGGTCGTTTGACGATTCGGCGGTGTTGCTCTTCAAACGTGTTGGTTTGAATCAGGTTTGGCTTTGTTCGTTGAACAACTGGACCGTTTTGTGTGTTTCAAACTACGTTGGTTCAACTGGACCTGTGGGTAAGCCAAAAGTTTCCAATGGCATCACCCATTCCAGGTACGTAGAGCAAACACAGATTGGTGCTTATTTCTTCAACATGAAATTATTCTAATGTCATGGGCTAGGGTTAGATTCTCACAGATTTGCCTATGGGGCAAGTTCCAGAAGATGTGACCAGATTGAACGACCAAACCTTTAGGTACAAAGTTCGAATACGGCTGCGGTTAAACAGTTGGCCGATTCGCTCACCCGAGCGGTAAAATGCGTCGCAAAACGTGGGCGAGGTCACAAAACCAAGTTTGGGCGCTTGCGATCAAACAAAAAACTCAATGCTTTTGACAGACCCAGTCGCAACGAATTGTGCACGCGGGTAGACTCACTCCAAGGTGATCCGGTGCGGCAGTTTCGGGTTGGCACTTGTCTTACAAGTGGGATGTCTCACTAATCAGAGGGCACGGGCGGTCCTCTTTTTCACCCCCTTTTAACGTGCTCCAACTCATTCTGCACGGGGTTTAAAGGCAACAAGTCAACACCAGTTGCAGAATCAAAACGAGAGCCTTTGTCATTCTGGCAGATGAACAGTTCAAACATCAAGGCCTCGCGGTTTAGCCTGCCCGCTACTTAAACAGATATCCAATGCAAATCGACCTTTTCTGCTTGTTGCCGGTGTGTTCGAACGCATTGAACAAAAGGCTTCCCTGTTCTAAGGGACACCCGGCAAGACAAGATGCTGTAACATAGAGACTGCCCACCCACCCTCGCCCACCCCTACCAAGCCCCCACCCTCGCTCCTTGCGTCCTTTTGAAGAATCAAGCTGAGGGCAACATCTTTTCATTTTTATCTCATGAGCGAGGCTTCTGCCTGGGAGCAATGGCGCTCGGCCAACAACAGGAACTGGGACGCGCGCGTTCCAATGCACAGAATGAAAGAATCACGGTACGAGCAGGAGGCCGCATTGGTGAAGGCGGGCCAGCCTTCGCTCCAGCCAACGGAATTGGCAGAGCTGGAAGGAATCATTGGGCCGAGAGCTTGCGTTTTGCACCTTCAATGCCACATTGGCACTGATACGCTGAGTTTAAAACATCTCGGTGCTGCAAAAGTCGTTGGACTAGATTTTTCCTTGCCTGCTCTCGAAGCTGCTGCTCAGTTGGCAAAAGACGCGGGCATTGACGAGAGCGCGGTGAAATGGGTTCACTCCGATGTTTATGACGCAGTAGCAGCACTGGACGGGGAACAATTTGATTTGGTATATTGTTCGGTAGGTTCGTTGTGCTGGCTGCATGATGTGGCCCGCTGGGCTGGAGTCGTTGGGAAATGCCTCAAGCCTGGAGGGCACTTCTACATCCGCGACGGACACCCCATGGCGATGACACTTGCCACTGATGAAGAAACACCAGGCTACCTGGACCGACCGCGGGATGCACATGGAGCTCGTGAATTGCTAATGGCATTCCCGTACTTTGAAACACAGGAGCCCATGACATTCGTCAGTGAGGAGTCTTATGCTGGGGACGGACATATTGACGATCCCGCTGCACGAACTACTCACGAATGGAATCACCCGATTGGCAGCATCGTCACGTCTTTGATTCAGTCAGGTCTTGCATTAAAGTTTCTGCACGAGCACCGGGACATCGACTTCCAGTTTCAAGACCACATGACTCAAAAGTCGTGTTTTCACGGCCGTTTCGGTGGATGGCAGTTACCGCCCCATTTGCGTGATCGATGCCCCTTGATGTACTCCCTGCTTGCACAAAAGCCAACGGAGTAGATGTGACCGTGCAGTGAGATGAGCACAAAATGAAGTGCATTCAGCAATGTGTGCCGAGATAAGTTTCGGCAAGACCATCACAGGTGTCGCGGTTCCTTATTCCAGTACCAGACTTCACTGGTTTCCTTCATTTGGCCCAACCAGCTGAACTTTTTGCAGGGCATATCTAGAAAAGGTTCTGGGACATCTAAAAGATTGGACACACCTACTAATCAGACTCCTTTGGTTGCCATGTCGAAACTCGCGCAGGTGAACAAGCGCAAGGACAAGCCCGTGATGACCAGGGACCAGGCCTGAGACGTGCCCTAAGTCAGAGTTCGGTTCGTTTGGGTTGTCTAAAGTTCCCCTTGGTGGTAAGTGAGGTAAGCCTTAAGCACCACCTTTGGGTCCAGTTTACTGTGACTTTGTGTTTTTTAGAAGATCAGCTTAATTATACACGTCCTCCTGGGAGTTGCACGTCCGCCTGAGCAATTCGTCATTTGAATATGATCCCAAATTGGTACTGAAACGGGCACATGGTCTACAGGACTCCACAAAAAAACACTAGGGAGGTTCATTCCTTTCCAAGCCGCTTGAACTTCTCGCAGCAGTCGACCATGGTTTTGTTTGTGTCTGTTTGTTCTGAGAGTTCAGTTTTTCTTGTTGTTATGTTTGTTCTGAGAATATGTTTGTCCTGTTTGCTTGCTTGTTTGTTTGTTTTGTTGGTTGGTTGGTTGGTCGGGCGGTCGGTCGGTCGGTCGGTTGGTTGGTTGGTTTATTTGTTTCGTTTGTTGTGTTTCCGTTTTGTTTCTTTTGTCTGATCGCTCACGCGGCTCGTTCGTTAGAAGCCGCCAGGTCCTTGGAGAGTTTCAGCTGGCCTACGACAAGTTCGGGCGCTTCGGCGGGCCCAGGGCCCAGGGATGCCAAAGGGCATGGGGCCTCGGGGGTTTCTGGGATCCGTCCAGTTCCTTGGAGTTTCTATGCCACAAATGGAATCTGTTGTTCCACCCCCACGTCTTCCATGTGAAATAATATTATATATATATACATGTATTATGTAGGTATATAATCATATATATATATATTATGTACATATATATATATGTATATATATATACACTCCCTCGGACTAACAGCCGGAAGCTTCCAGAAGGCCTCCGTAAATGGAACTAAGGCTTTCAAAAGGGTACTCTGAGCTTCTATGATAGTCTGAGGGAGTGTAGAAATCGGTAGGCTTAGAGTGCCTTGGAGACCCCAAGGGGGTTCTTTCAGATCATAGGAACCCTCAAGGTCTTGGGGCAACGAACATTAGCATTGATTTCCCTAAGAAGTGTGCAACCATGATGCTTGAAGTACGCGTCAACAAAGTCAACTGGTGTTCCTCATTGCTTGCTATTTCCGGCTTCCCGGGTACAGCGGAACGCTTGACAACCACGCCCAGCCAAAGCCAACAGACTAGAAATGGAGGGTGTTTCACCAATTAAGAGGAGCCGGGGTCTAGGGTGCGTAGGTTTTCTCGAGTCAATCAATAAACCTTTGGTATGCTTGCCCTCCCGCCTCCCGTGCAACCCAACTGCAGGTCCCTTCCGGAGCTAACTGACCTGAAAAACCGCTAGTTCGGCTGCATGTCAGGGAGGGTATCTTCAAAGTTTGGCTTGGTCACATTCAGCAAATCCTTTCTCCACTCTTCGGACTGCGAAGGGGTGCAAGGCCTGATGGTCGCCGGTAGGTTAAAAGCTACCTGAACAATCTTCCAGGTATCCCAATGCAGGTTCCATGTGTGCTTGGTCAACGTTACCAGAGGGTCCATTTTGGCGGGACTTGGGGGACTCACCAAATTTCCCCGCAAAAACCAGGGACTCAAGATGTCCCTCTAAACACACAATTGAGGTCTGTTAAAGCACAAAGCAGCACGTGCCTTCAAGAAGACCCTGAACATCTAACACATGGTGTCAAAAATGCCAAATATGCATAATAAGAGCGTTGGGACCATCCGTGGTGCGTGCGGAAGTACATGGGGGGTCGCAAGATCCTCCCAAAAAGGAAGTCGAGAAACTAGTGAAGTGAGAACTCCAGCTTCAAGTGTCGGCGTGCTTTGGATTGAAGTGCAGGCATAGAGGAGCCGAAACCAGCAGCCTCCCAAAGGACTTTCTGTGGCCAATGAGTTTTTGTTAGGTGCTATTTCAATCTTGGGTGGAGCGAATTGAAAGGACACCTTGCGGCCAGAGGATGCTGGTTGGACCAGACCTCAATTGTCTGGTTGTCCGTTCAGAGTTTGATGCACGTCAGGTGGCATGTTAACCGTGGAGCCCACGCCAAGTGAAGAATGCGCCATAGGGAAGGCCGTTTCAACCGGTGGAATCTATGAGAGGTGGGCAAAAGCTAATGCCCACAACCCTGTTTCTTCATGAGCACAAGCTCTTTGGAGGTTGTGGGTGACGTCTTGAGGGGTATGTTTCATGTCTTGTGAGCCAAACTGCTAGTTCTTTCTTTACTTTCTCCTTATAAGAACTCCCACAAAGAAAGAACTGGTGTTGTTTCCTTTTACAACAACCCCAAAAGGGAGACCTCAACGACGCACCCCGTTGCCCCTGGCCCTTGCAGGTACCAGGCTGTCCTGGGCGATACCAAGCCGGGGGGCCTATCGCGGACCATGGCGAGAGCAAAGGAGAGGAACCCGTCTGTTCAGTGTCCAGAAGGACATCAACCATACTACTGTGCATGAAAATCGGGGGCCCTGAAATTCGTAGGTTTCCTTTTGGTATCCGTTTGAACCAGGATGAAAAGGGTACCCTCAAAAGACACGCCCAAATACATGAGCGCCCTTTCGAAATCATCGTCACAAGCTGGGGTAGAATCTGGAAAAAGGTGAATAGGTCACTTGCGGCCTAAACCATTGCATTGGGACTCTGAGCGCATTGACCAATAGTTTTAAAATCAGCTCACTGGCATCTGACTGTCGTTGGTTTGGTTCTTAGCTGGCTTCAACACGGTTATTGTATGGCTTGTGTCAGAGAGCCCTTAGCGGCGGACGCCGGGCAGTTTCAGGCAGATAAACCGGATGTGCTGAGAGGTGTGTGCTAACCAAGAAAACAAATCTGCCCGAATCTGCCCGGGCGACGCCCCCTGCTTGCGCAATCCCCCGTGAAACGCCGCAAAGTTGTGTGAGAAGCCGTTTTCGACCACCAAATTGGTTCAAGAAAAGCTTGGTGGTTTCCAGCCATGCCCTTAGACTTTAGATGTTCACAGCTTGGAATGTACGACATGCCCCAGCAATAGTTCCACTTTTGGCAAGGGATGGGTCAAAAACAGACATGCCCCAGAATGGTGTTTCGCCCATCTGAAGACAACCAAACAAAAACAGACTGGCAATGGTACAGCAAGAAGTCTTCGGCTGAGGTCCGCGGCGAGCGGTCTGGGTTTCGGCCTGGCCTTGGGCTGAGCATCCGCGGATCTCTCGGAGTCGGTGACCAATCTTGTTTCGATTCTTTTCTGTTTGGACGAGACTTGCAGGGACACCAAAAGGGACACCATCCACTTTTGGGAGCTCACGTTGGAACCCGAAACGGGCGCCGGCCTGAAGGAGACTCCTCTATCACTGGCTTTTTTTGTTTGCAGTGGGGGCGTGGCTTCAACTTTCGAGATCGCTTCGTTTCATGGCACGCACCATAAACCGTTACCCACGCAACAAGATCGGAAGTTCAGTTCCACCAAAGTGTGCTGTCACAGTCACAACCTACCGACAGGCAAGCGTTCGTCGGCGCGGAACGTGTTTGACCCAAAGCTGATGCCTTTTTGACGGCCGCAGTATCCTTCCTCCAGCGCTGTTCTTGGGGTTCAGCTCGCATGGGGCCACGCGTCCAGGCGGCAGTGGCTACCGTTTTGGGCCTGTCGTGAGAGCGAATTCGGCTCGGTGAGCTTGAGAAGAGTTGAGACGACCCACGAGTCACTCCCCAAGTGCTTGAACCTTATGCCTTTCGGGAAGACCAGGTTAGTTTTTGGCAAGCACTTGCTTTGGGCCTGTTAGGAAGTGAGCCGAGAAGTGAGCATGTGGAAGGCACCTGACCTCATTCACTTGATTGGTTTGCTGGCTTCCCTTAGCGTGATTTAGTGTGTTTTTGTTCAAGTCAAGTTGCAAGTGTGTTGCAGCTTGCCCATGCCCAGATGAATTCCAGGGAATCAATTTCAGACCCTTTTTCGATTCGCTCAATAGGCGTGGGGTGGTTTCAAGCTGAGCGAAACTCCAGCCAGAGTTGGAGAGGTTTGAGATAATGCACTCATCGCCCATTGCGATGCCCAAAACCGAGGAGTTCAGGCTTGAGCGCTTGCACTGCATGAATTAATGCTTGCTTGACTCACCAACATATGGAATTTAGGCCCTGTTTGGAGGTGTCCTTTTATTGAGTTGGGATTATACAATTTGGCCAGATCCTCAAACTGCTGATGTTTTTATTCAGGTCCTCACCCAGAATGAAGGCAGAGGGGATGCTTGTCTTAGGTTGGTGAATTAGCATGATTCACCCAAAGGGCGGCGTCTCTGAATAGTGCTAAGCCCACATATCCCCATTAGCAGAGTAAGTTTTGCAATAGTCCAGAAGTTCAGATTGATTTGGTAGGCCATCAGCGAAGGCAAGCGGTTCCTCAATTTCGTTTGGCATGACTGGTTTGAGTTGGCAAACGTTCAAACTGTTTGTTTGGTAGAGTTTTCGTTTTAGTGAGAAGGCCAAGGCCCAAAGAGTTTAGTGACTTTGGCCAGTCACGTTGCACAGCTCATGCCTTTGCATCTTTGTCCCTCGATCTCTCTCCCACTCTCTCGATCAGCTGGACATGAGTCGGGCCCCCAACAGTGAAACACACGTCCTTCAATTTGCATTGTGATGGTAAGATGAGCAGATCAAGTAAGCACTCAACCGACCCATCTTCGATTGCGCAACAACACATGAGACATGTGTCCTTCCTGCATGCACAACTGTCAAGAGTTGCTGAGATAGGCAAGTCTTACCCAAACACATCAGCGGGGGTTGTGGCCACTTCAGGGCCACGAGCCATGAGTGGAGCAAAGTCCATGTAAAGCTTCCAGGCAGGGCGGGGCGCGGCACCCGAACGGCCGACCATCCGCGCACATGTGATCACATTTGCAGAGTTCCACTTGCTGAGCCTTGCTCTTGACGTACGGATGCCATGAAGATTGCAAGTAAGGGTACAGAGCTTTACCCCCTACTTTGCCGTAATTTACCATGGTATTGTGGGCGGATGTGCTTGCAATGTTTAGGCAGCCAGCGTAGCATTGGCAGATCCAGCATTCACCTTGGCCATCGTTTAACCATCGTCATCTCAAAGATTTTGACAGGCGCCCAGCCAAAAACACCAAGAATAAAAATATGACGATTGACACCTCGTTTGCAGCTGGTTTACTCCGTTTTCCTGGGTTTACCCTCAACTGGGATTCTTGAAAGGAGTTTAATCTTGAAGTCCACCAACTTTGGGCCACACTCAAACACATTAGAGTAGGTGTGCTGGCGGGGCAAGACCTGACAAAGGATTCGGTTTGGCGCGCCCCCGCCCGCCCCGCGGGCGAAGAGTCACCGCTCGTTGTCCCATTTGTGCCCGCCTAGATGTGACACTCATGATAACTTATGAGAGAGGCCTCGCTACCTTTGTGCTCTTCTTTCCCCTGTTTGCCTCTCTTGGTGCTGCTTGTTTTCTCTCTTTTACTCTTGATTGATCTTATTTCCCCAAGTTACCAAGGCTGGTTGACGCTTTCAGGGCAATGGTCCCATCTGGGTCGGGCGGAACCGAGGTGATGCTTCCCTGCAACAACAAGGCCACGACCGGCCTGGGCAGCAGCTCGGCAAGCAGCGGGTGAGTTGCAGTTGGTTTTCTTAGCTCCAGTTGCTTAATATTTTTGTTGTTGGGTAAGAGAACCATTTGTTGGTGCTACGTTTGTTTTTCCATTTTCCCTTGTTGGGTTTAAAAGGAATTCATCACTATTGGAAATGTATTTCTTCCTGGGGCCTGAACCAAATGGAAACTTAGCTTGGTTTCCAGGGAATCCAACCCAGAGTCCCCAACCAAACCCAAAGCTGCAAATAGGACATTAAGATGAACGCTCTCCTTGTTTCTTGGTGGTCCCTTTGTCGAGGCGGCATACCCAAGTGTTTGGTGTTTTGGAGCTGAGCTTGTGACCATTGCGAGGGCGTCTCAAGTTTGCTTGCGGTGGTGGTTTCCCTTCAAGCCACCATTTGGGCAAGTGTTGAGGATGTCACTTAAGGGGACGTGCCATTGGGCAAATTAGTGTCAACAAGCAGATGGGCGTTGAAGAGGAACAAAAAAGGAAGTCGTTTCATTCAGCACATTGACATGTTTAAACAGCTTGGCGCCCTTGCTTCTCATCCAGATCCTAATAGGTGATGGTGGCTTTGATAAGGAAATCTCAGGATTCCAAGCAGAAGACGCGAGCCACGTGGACGTCCTTGCGCGGCTCAACTGCCCGCCCCCCAGTCGCGTGGATTCTCACGGACCGGATTTGACAGGGTTCCTTGAAAGGATATTTTGTGGCCAAAATCAATCCAGCTTTACCAGCTTTGAAACAGGTTTTCTAGTGTCCGGGTGATTTTTAGGCGTATCCATCCTTGAGCATACCCTGTTTGATGCCACCGAACCCTTTGCTTGGCACTGCTCCAAACGATTCTGTTCCTTTGAAATGTGTTTGCTTTCTGAGAAGGATCCCGGGAAGGAATGTGGAGTTGAATCGAGAAGTTTGCGTCAGGTTCAGTCAACAAAAAAATAAAATTATAAGGTTGGTTGGTATTTGCAACCGAATCCTCGGACACCGGTTCGGGTTTCTGAGCGGATGTCGCGAGCGGATTTCGCATTCCTACGGAGAGGTGATGGGCAGCGCCAGTGCCTCCAGCTCCTATTCTCCAGGGAGAGCCTTGGCACGAGGGATGGTGGGTCGTTTGCTTTTTTGGGGGGAATACCCCGTTTGTTTCAGGTTACCCTTAGTTGGTGGTTTGGATTGGTGGTTTGGGATTTGAACCCCCTGGCTTTGGTAAGGGGGTATGGGAGACCCCTCCTAAACCAATCGAAATCACCAATCGAAATTACCAATTTGGGGGAAGCTGACTGTTGCTGGTGGTAAAGGGAAGCCAGAATTCCTCAAACTGAGACGGTCACTGTTTGGGGCCGGACCATTTTGGAAACAAGAGCAGACTTGGCTTGACCAACTGGGCGTCAGAAGGATGTGTCTTATTGTTCAGGGAGATTCAGGGAGCCAACTTTCACTTTGGAGTTCCCATATTTGGAGACTCTCGAGGGTCTGCAGGAGTATTGGTTGGTTTTCCTGGTTTTGGGAGGAGAGGCGCTTGGAGACTGTCCAACCGGGTTTCCTGCCGCCTTCAACGATGAACCGCTATGCACTCAAGGGGTCTTTGTCTTGACCTACAGCAGCTGCTTTCATGTTGTGACATTCATACATTAATCCACAATGAACAACGGGACTCCCCAGTTGTGACGCATATCCGGAAATGCATCCGACGCCTCCGGCCCGAAGCGTGGCCTGGCAAGGAGAAAAACCTTGGGCTACATCCCGACAGAGCCTTGCTTGCAACATGAGCAGTTGCAACAGTGAGCAGTTGCAACATGCATCCTGCTCCCATCTGCTTTCCTCGTTGGATCGTGGGCGATGAGAATGATGATCCCCTGGCAGATTACTAGAAGGGCGTCCCGGTTTGAGGGAACCTTCAGAGGGAATATGTCGAAATGAATCTGCAGCGTTTATGGAGGTCAACACTACAACCAAGTAACAAAGCGCGGCCGGCACGCCCAACAGCCCGCAAAAGAATGAGGAGAAGGCGGGACAATCATTGCGCAAACACGCAGCGAAGCCTGGCAAAAGCGAGCGATCAAGCGAAAAGCAAAACAAGATTCGCTGAAAGCCGGCGAACAACAAATCCGAAAAACCCTTGTTGGGGTCGTTGAAGGCAAATTCAGCTGTATTTTAGCACCGTTGGGTGGCCCAAAACTGGGATAGAAGATACACATGAAACAGAGCAACAAACTGCAGTGTGACACCGCATAAAGCATGTTTAGCCATCTGAGGCAGGATTGTGGGATTGAGGGCATGGTGTCCACTTCTGTGCTCTTGGAGGGGCTCGCCATGTCAAATGAATAGAAAGCTTTGCGCGAATGCATGCTTTTCAGTAGATGCTTCACTTTAAGTGAATACTGAATATGTATGAAGCAAAAGTATCGTTTAAAGCGAATACTTAGCCGGTGGGGAGATATTCTAGTGGCTTGTTTGCAAAGCGCAAATATGGGTTCAACAGACCTGACTTCAAAATGCGAATTTGAGGAGGTGAAGGAGGGGTCCTTCGTGCTGCGGGGCATGTGGGTGAACCAGGACCATGAGACATGGAAAGCGGGGGGTGGGGGAAGGAAGGGTAGTTGAATCGGTTGGGTCTTCTTTTTAGGCTGTTGTTGTGTGGTGTTTTGTTTAGGGACATTTCAGGCCTTTTGGAGGCCTTGAAAGGGTCCAGTGTACGGTAGCGAGGGAGCCGGTCATTCTTCGAGCATGTAGTGTCAGCTTCGGGATCTCGAGCAAGGCATGTAGGGGCATTTTGAGGCTTTACGGGGATGCAGGTGATTTAGTAAAATACTCCAACAAATGCATCCCCACCATCCCCTTTGGGTGGGAAGAAAATCAGTTTTTGTTCAACATAATTACTGCAATGTCAAAGCAGAGGACCTTGCTATAAAAGGGGAGAACCCCTTGAGTCAGGGGTTCATGCATTGTGAGGAGGCTTGCTCCAATTGGTACAGTCCTTCCTTTGATTTGTCCGAAGTTGGCATTCGGCGACCCCTCAAAACTGCTGGTTTCCTTCGAGTGTCCCGCAGAGACACTGCCAAAAATGGGCTCCCTGATGCTTGGACCCCTTGCTGGATGTGCCTTTTACAAGGTTTCTCCC